GTGTTAAAGTACGCTGGCGGTATTACGCATGGTCTCACTGCTTCCACTTCATAAGTTAAACCATGGAGAGTGCTGATACTCCATGAAAGAGTTTCTGTGTCCAGCACTATCTCATTGTCATAAACTACATCTTTTTCTCAGCCACCATTGGCAAGAATTTCACACTGATTTTGCCCATACATAAGTACTCAAGCAAAGCAAAATTTACGAGGTACATCAAGTGACATTCAACAACTGACAGGACCTTTGGTCTTCAATAGCGGTAAATACAGAAGCGGTATACGATTGTGTGATAAAATGGCAAGTGTTGAGGTGGTATAAGTTCAAGTTGACCAGCTGGGACCCACAATGGGCATTTCATATCGAATTTATTTGCCTTTCAAGCAATTCTGTTGTGGATCGATACTGGCGTGGTTTCATCTGAAGCCATTCAACTGAAGTAAAGACTTTCTGGGACTTATAAGACTGGGATATTCAAATTGGAATACATATATTGGGTAATATTTGTAGCCACTTCAAGCATTTTAGTTACATCATTTTAGTGAAATGTGTGAACATGTACATCTATAACCCACTGAAGAAAATTATCGGGTCAAATTTGGGATTCCAACCCAGTCAGAAGATTCTGCTTAAAGACTTGGGAGTAAAAAGGTCTGGTGCGAGGAACAAATTTTTAACCACTAGACTATCTCACCCTCTGCCACGAGAGACTGACTTCAGGTAATAAATGTAACATTATTATTGTTTATTTATTTTTTAACACGACTTGTGTGCCCTTCAGTCAACTGGGACTATATTTTTCAATTACGATGTTCATAAACCATGTCATTGGCACTGAATTATTATATTACTAAAATGTTACTGTATCAAAAAAACTCTTATAGGAATAATAACATTACAACACAACATAATGTAAAATGATAAAAAAACATGAACAACACCTATATGCAACAGCTTGTCATGTATGAGTTTTATTTCATTCTCAGCAGGGGGTTATGGCTTTTATGTCCCAATAATGGCTGAAAGTGGAACATGTACTTATGTGATGGGTGTGACCACACTCCACTGACAGAGGACGACCATGAGTGTATGATTTGCAATTTCTTTTGTTTGCCAACTCTTTAATACTGTGTGGGTTGGCCATTTGTTTACAGGTGTGTCATGTCCGCTGGACTTAGCACAGTATTCGTCACACATGGTCTTCAACTCAATTAATCTGATCAGGAGTGGGTGTAAAGTGGTTTAGGCTTATCACTGATATATAGGTCAACGGAGCTGTAAGTTTGTTCAGGATAATGTTAGTCTGCAGGAATTTTTTCTGAAAATAAAAATTTGAATGAAAACAGATTTACTTTATGAGTGGTGAGTGAGAATGTGGCTATACACTGCAGTCATCAATATGACAGCTTGTGAAGATTAAGTCTGGAGCAGACAAATCAGTGGTTGATATGAATACACAATGCCATTTAGAAAGTGGTCAAATGTAACATATGTTACATATGGGATTACACTTTCTTAGTAAAGTACAGATTCTAGTACTTTTGTTGGGTTCAGTCCCATCTGGGATTTGAACCCACATCCTCAGAGTCAGGCACCTAATCCCCAGCACACAAAGTCAGCCGCCTAACCCTGCTCAGCCACCGTGGCTACCACCAGTGGTTGATAGTATGAACCATCTAATAGGTAAATATTCTTGACCACCAAACTTAATTTCAGTTAGTAAGCTAATCCTACAAGCACTTGATTCTCTTGGGAACTATGGTGCCCTGCATTCCCCATTAGGATGAAGAATAATTTCATTATTTAGCATAAATTCATACCCATAATGTTTGTATAATCTGGTTCATTGACGGTCTGGTTGGTTAAAAATCAGTTCCTAATCTACTTGATATTCCTATCTGGTAATAAATATCATCCGATATTAATTTATTTCATCTGTGATTTAATGGGTTAAGAGTATCAAACTGTTTTAGTGTCAGATTTGACCAGTCAATTATATGTGCATAATATAAAATCTGGGTCACTGAAGGGCTGTTTTGAAAGTCCAGATAGTTGGCAGGAAATTAGTTGACCAAATCAATGGCAGTAACTGGTGATGATTATTTACTGCAATTGATCAGGCTATTTGATTGTCGGCTACATACATAGCTCTCTTTGATGTGCCACCTCGACAGGTGACAGGTGAGTCATGTTGACAGCAATATTGACGGATAGGTATAGGTTGTAGATTTCAGCCTAGCAGTGCAGCCAGGTTGGAAATAATTGTGGTATATTGTGAGTCTCATGACTGACCATAATGGTGGTCAGTTGTTTTGGGAGTATAAGTCAGGTGAGTTGTACTTGCTGCGACAGTGAGTGACAGATAGATATCACTAAAGTGATTGGATACATTTAGTGTAGATTGCAATATAAAGCTGTATACAACAATTTGATTTTCTGATTTAATGGGTATCAGTAATAATATATATTGATACATTATAACTGATAATGAATTATTTATGTCACAGTTACAACATTTGATCATAATTCCTTATTTGGTATAGATTTATCATCCCATACCGACATCCACAGAAAACATCACCAGAGATACGGCCACAGTGGTATTGCATCACAGTGCTTTGTAGACCATTGTGACATCATCAGTTACCATAACATCACAATCAAATATCACAACTTATCTCTCTGCCACTGAAGCTGGTTAGCTCTTCCTTTTACATTCACAGGGATGAGAATTTTCTGCGGATCCGCGTAATTCCGGGAATTTCATGAGGCCAAGGGTCATTTTTGTGAATCGTCTAAATCCGTATAATTTGGCCCCAGCTAGTTTTCAGAGCTTTTCTCATAACTTCATTCTCATCCCTGCGTTCAAGACAACTTGTATTAATATATTTGATATCAAAAGACACTTGGGGGAGGTTCTCTACATATCAGGAGTACATGTTGTATGAAATGAAAATATCATATTAATATAGTATTTTGTCAAGCTGCTAACTTGTATATCTGCTTTGAGTTTACTATTTATAGCAGTGATGGTGGTTGAGTTGTCAAGTGGCATTACCTATGTGACCTGAACGTCCATTGAGATATATCTATTTAATCTCTACACAATGTATTAACAGAGCTAACATACATGTATTACAAGACAGAGATTAGTGAAAGTGGCTTGACCTGTGTGATGACAAATGAGCGTTCCGTCTATATTATGTAGATTTCACAAGACCTGATTACAAAGATGTGTTCTTGCAGTTAATGGGAAATTCCAGAAATGGTTAGAACACAGAAATTGCATGACAGCATCTCATGGAATTTCATGACATCTGACAAGGTGTATTTTAGGGGTGAAACGGTATACCTGGTAATTTGCCTTCGGTTTGGTATACCGTAATGCAGTCCAAAAATTTGGTATTTTTGGTTTTCGTACCATCATTTTATTAACCTTTTAAAACCTTTTCTGAAATCAAATAATTTTGTCAAAATCTATGCATTTCTTTGCAAGATGGCTCTTGTCAATTTTCTGCATAATGATCATATCTCATATGCCGAACCAAAACGAACCAAACCAAAGGCCTTGTACGCAATGCGTGCCATACCGTAGTAAGAGCGTACCGTTTCACCCCTAGTGTATTGGTCTTGTTTTGAGAGAGAAGGTGTAGGACCACATCAAAAGTATGCACACTGTTGGTGAGGAGAAATGAGGTTCAACATTGTGCTCAAGATAATTTCATTAAAGTGTTAACATGCATGCACAAGGGTGTGTGGCTGCATGTACTAATCTGGCTTCATGTTTTACAGCCAGATTCAGTGCAAGCCAACTGACATACCATGTAACAGAGTTGACCAGTCCTTGTGAAATGTTCCAGGGTAACAACAAGTACCATCTTTAAATGACCTTCATATGCTGAGGATGGCACATAGCAATGAGTTGGCAGGGAAATATTTTGTTACAGTGAAATGCAAATTTATGGGTGAGTGAGCTGGATTTTACACACTTTTAGCAATACTCCAGCAATATCACGGCGGGGAACACCAGAAATGGGCTTCACACATTGTACCCATGTGGGGAACGAAACCGGGCCTTCGGTGTGACGAGCGAATGCTTTAACCACTAGGCTATACCACAAATTTAAGAATAATCCAATTTTTGTATTACTGGGAGAAACAAGTTCCAAACGATTTGTGTCAATGTCTGCACAAGTGGCCTCCTTCAGTCACCTAAATCAATGGATTGTCAAGCATGTGACAGATGTGAACTTGTAAATGAGGACAGACAGGTTTGAGTGCAGGGCTGGGCTGCAATGATAGGATTTAATTGCTTTGTTAAAAAATCAATTGTTTAATCAGTGGATATCAGTCTAGATAACGCAGATGCTCAGATTAAGTGACATGCTTATATCCCACAGTGTGACATGTCAATTTCACTGCTAAGAGACAGACAAGCCAATCATCCTCCTTGTCACCACTCTGTCACAACAGAAGCACCTGCTTGTCATCTTCTCTCAACCTGTTATTACCTGATTTAGTCACTGAACATGACAATCCAGACAAAACTTCAAGTAATTATTCCAGCTCAGTGAGCAAGGCAGGTAACTGGCTTACAGAGCAGACAGTCCAATACAATTTGGGAATAATGAGAATATTAAGTCGTAAAATACATCGTGGGAATTATATATTACATCTTAACGTCAATAACGTCATGGTTTAGCACTTTTTATATTCCAGCAATATCACGGCAGGGGACACCAGAAATGGGCTTCACACATTGTACCCATATGGGGAATTGAACCCGGGTCTTTGGGGTGACGGGCAAACGCTTTAACCACTAGGCTACCCCACCGCTCCTAGCGTCATGTGAGGCTACAGAGACAAGATTGTTCAAGGATAAAGACTGAGTCTGTATTTGAAATATGTTGTTTATATTTTGTGTATGATGTAATCTGCATGATTTCTATGACAAGTTCAACCAAGCTTATTTTATAGTGTAGGTTCTAAACAGGTTTGGATAAATTTTGACCTCTCATGTAAGCTGCTAATTACATGTAGAGCAGTACATGCTCTTATATACATTTAAGATTGGCAATCACATGCTCCAATATACTGCTGTTAAACAGAGGTGAATGGTTAATCTTGACCACTGCTAATTACAGGTGTAACACCACATGCTCCAATATGTTTGTAGTATTCTGTCTTAATCAACATCTAAGATTGGCAATTACATGCTTCAAAATACTGATGTTAAACAGAGGTGAGTGGTTAATCTTGACCACTCAGATAAACCGCTAATTACAAGGGTAACACAACATGCTTCAATATATTGATGTGAAACATAAGTGATTTTTGGCAATTTAGACCCCTCAGGCAACTTGTTAACATAAACTGTCACTCAACATAATTGAAGAACAGTGACAGTGCATACTATTTATCTAATGCAGACAGGTGTATTACTCATCTTCATTAACAGTGATTACAGGTGTGACAGTTCAGGTACTAGTGAGCTACTTTGATAAGTGTGACACATATACTGAGATAATATATATAAATTACAACTAAAACTGTGAAGTAACATTGTTTAATAAACAGCATGAATATGATTACTCAATGTATTATTTTTTTTTGGTCTACAACAAAAATGATTAGAAATCCTGGCTGTCAATTCAATAAAGTAATAGGTGACCATAATGTTATTGTCAAAAGAGCTTGATACATTTATCATTTTTGTTGTGAATGGTGAGTGATCTGATATGCCTTAGAAGGGGGAGGTGCAGACTAATGCTTAGTCTCTGAATATATATAATTTTGAAAATAACATTTAAATTGAGAAGGAGCCACACTGAGATTGGAAATTCACTGAGATCCCGAACCTTAGGAATCTGGACTTGATTCAGTTAGGGCTTTAGCATTACAGAGAGGGCTGGGCTGTAGGGGAAATAATGTGGTTTTGGGACTATGAGACAGACTAGGGGAAGGGAGGTAAGATAGGTTTCAACATCATATTTAATGTATTATGTCAAGGTGCTTGCATGTGTTTGTGGCCTTGTCAGGACTAATCATGGTTTTACAGTGCTAACCCACTGATACCTTGCCACAGTTAAACCTGGATACCCAACAGACACAACATACAGGTAATCAGTGTTTGTTTATCCCCTAATGGCAGCACCAGGGAATATTGTCGGTCATACAGACCCTGAAACAAATATATCCAAAAAAGCCCATGCAAATCTAGATTTCCACAGTTTCAGGAAATGAAGTAAGTTTCTGGGCTCCCTTTCATTATATTTTATTATTATAATTTAGGAACTGTTTATTCTGTAAATATGTTCATTTCAGAGACTAGATGTTAGTCTACAGGGAGGGTACAATGTCATCTTTTAGTAATATGGCCGGATGATCAAACCACCAATCACTCCCACACAAGTCTATATATCACTGTTCCTGCCTGGTCATATATCAACATTGGGATATATCTTGTATATCACCTCACCAACATCTGAGCATTTCATTGGGGGATAATCTTTGCCTGGAGTTAGGATTACTTGGCCTAAGGTCAGATTGCACAATCTACAATGTTGAGGGCAGCCCATGGTATTTGTCAAGCAGTACCAGGTAGCTGCGGGCTATGTACACAGAATGTTCTTGTGTCTCCAGGTAACTAATTGATAAGCTAAAATAGATAAAAACGTCAAACCATTTTGATGTTTCACTTCACAAATGTATCAAAAGAATATTGGTCTGGGCTTAACCAAAAACAAACCGATATCTGCTGACAAGTCATGATGGAATTTTAATTGGAATCATCACCTAAACCATCAAATTCCCCATAAAGATTACAACATCTTACAGCTAATTAATTAATTAATTAATTGTCCATTTCAATAACGACATCCAACTGTCACCTGTCTCAGGTAATAAACTAGAGCAGGACACCTATCAGGTGTAATCAATTGCAGTTTTGTCACCTTCCTATCAAAGACCGATAACCAAATCCAGGTAAGAAATTGTCTGTCCTTCACCTGATGTCAGTTTCACAGGTAGGCAGTTGCTGAGTTAACAGGTAGGCTGTCGCAGCGTGCTAGTCATACCCACGTGATGATTACAAGTGACTGAGCCAGGGCACACACACACAATTTCCTTGGGTCTGTCACAGCTGGTGGGGAAAGTTGCCTACCTGGCCCATGTCTCATTAGCACTGTTGTGGATATACGCTTAGTGTCCAGGTAAATCTGAAATTTATGTGTTGGTTTCTGATGGAATGACTGACATATATTAAGTTACAGTGTCAGTTTTACTGCTAACAAGACATGTTAATTTGATGTATGCCAAACCTTATTTAACTGTACACTTTCATTTCAAAGGCACTGAATACAATACCTTTACTGCATAATCTTATCTCTATTGTTGTATGTACTTAATTAACTACTGTTGGATGTTGTTTTAACAGCTTTTAACACCATGGTGTCAATATCAAGGTGTTGTTTTAAGAGCATTCAACACACTAAGTGTCACATGAGATATTGATTAGTGAACACAGCTGATTGGCAGTCACAGTGGTTATATAATGTTTATTGCACATGCAATCTACACCAAACATCAGATATGCCTTCATACAGCAGTGGAGGCAAGTATATTCAAAGTTGAACGATGTTAAACTTTAATGTGTAAAATATTTGAATAACAACCTCTTAGTACTTTCTAAGCTAGGAACACAGTTGGTACATTACATTGTACATGCCATTCTTCATGATTTGTAAACAACAGTGTGTTTATTTCAGTGAATCAGTGAATATTTGTTATTTACAAAATGGACCCTTTCCATCTTGCCCTTTGGAATTGCTTATTGTTTCCTAATTGACAGAAATAACTGTGTTTGCTCAACAATGGACCTCTTAACATAAGGTGATATATAGTATGTCAAGTTTATGACACTTTCTTTCCTCGAGGAAAGATTTTACCTTAAGCTTAAAAACAAGATATGTTTACTTCCTTGTCAAAGATGATATGTAGAATGTTGATGTTTCCTGGTGACAGCCTATTGCTATGACAATTTCCACAGCTACGAATTAACAAGTGTTTTAGTAAACAAACATTAGTTTCAATGATTTTGTGATAATGTCATTGTTCAACTGTCTTGAAGATATTTCTTTAGTTTCTCCAAAATGGTTAGCATATTGTTTTTCTTTGCAGTAATTTTGAAAATAAGGAAGTATTGATCTAACCATATTTGTATTGAAAAGTGTGAGTGAGTGAGTTAAGATTTACAGTCATTTTGTCAATATTGAAAAGTACAAACTAGATTGATGACACCACTTAGAAGTAAAAAATCAGCAACAGCATTCTAACATATGATTTCTTATGATTATTCTTTTCATAATGTTTATTGAAGAAAACATTTGACAAGATACTGTCAACTGAGGGATATTTAAATGTTTTTCACAAAACTGAAAACTGATTTCATTGCCAAATCTGCAAACGTTTTAACAGTATTATCAGCATAATCTGCATCTAATTCATGATGGGTTCACGGTTTTTAATGTTTTTGTGATCAATACAACCAAAGGCTCATTGAAGCTGTCACAGTTAAAGATTTACAGCAAACAGTAAACACTTGTTATAAGTGTTGGCGAACATGTGACTGTTGAACCATTTCTGTGTCAACCACACCTCCACTGAGGTGATGTCATGTGAGATAAACACTTACAGCAATGCACACGGAACAGACTGAAAAACTCGACACATTCACTCTACCATCAGGCCATGCATTACAAAGACGACATACATATAATCAAATTATTAAAATGTCACTCATCAGAGAAATGTATTGAACATTTGGAGGCTTATTAAAAAGATTTCTCAAATGGTTTCTTTGCTGTCTGGCCAAGCATTGCAATAGACTAGATAGATAGATGTAAAGACATGTTTAGCTTGTCACTGAGTGTATTTACCATTGTATACATTACATGTGGATCGCAAAAAGATCTTGGTCACGCATGATCTACCTCGTCAGCTGTTTCACAAAGCCAGGCAATGTATGCACTTTATACGTATGAGCTGTGCCCTCCAGGTAAGCTGGCTGTTCCCATGACATGTCAACTATTGAACAGCGTGTGAACGTGTATATTTTGAAACAGGCATAATTCAACAGCTGGAAAGATGACACTGGTATCAATTTCAAACTATCAGTTTTATGACCACATAATTTATTTTGAAAATTATTATTTTGCTTTTTTTTATTTCTTATTCATGCATTTATTTGTTTCCTACTTGTGTCACTGGAAATAAAATATATAGGAAACGTGTTTTAAAAAAATAAATTTGTCACAAATTAATCTCAGTTTTAAAAAGATAAATTTGTAACAAACTAGTCTCAGCTATATGTTCTAGATTCTTTTATTGAGGTGCCTTACTTAATCACTGAATATCTAAACTGCCTACTTCAGACATCATGACAACATGGAAACAACTCCTGTATTCTTTTAAAAGCAGCTTTGGTAGCAATTCTTTCTGGAATAAAATTAATATCATTTAATATACATTTAAAAAAAGAATAATGAAGAAAAATTTAAGAATGTCATTCGTTAAACTATAAATATTGTTATAATTTCCCCAGAAGAAGCATTTGTTTCGTCACACACCTAAACATTCATGAATGAATATTTTAAATAAATTGATCAATAAAATAAACAAGTCATGAGCCATTCCCAGTACGCCAGTATCTCAAATCAAGTAGAAGTTATGCTATGCTTCAGATGTGATAATGTTCCAGTGTTCAAGATCAGAAATAGTTAAACAATCAGCAAATTTCAACATCTCTTTCAAAAAGGGGTATGAGAAATTGTTGTAATTCCATTTGGGTTAAAAAAATATCTAAAATTTTATGCCATGCCCATATTGGACGAAAACACTTATGTGTGTTTTATCGCCATGCAATTCATGAGAATTCCCTTCCTATTCCCACGATCTCTGACTAACACCCAATGAGGCAATATTTGAAAGGATGAAATTCAAGAGTTGCTCCAGCCTCCTCTTTACAGTTGGCAAACCGGGAGTTTTAATGATATCATGTGCAGGTTTCAAATACGACAGGGACGGTACTGTATTGACAGTTCCACTGTAAAATATTGAAAGATCAATAGCTGATCTAGTCTGATGCCAGGCCGGGCTGTTCATCTTGAACCATTTGTGAACATAAAGTTTGTACAAAGTGGAAAGAAAAAAGAAATCAAATTTATTTTTTTAACTGCTGCATAAACAATCTCAGGATGGCAGTCTCTCACTGTATTAACTGTGATGTGGCAAGAATCTGTGGCCCTTCAACTGACTCCTTTTGTTGAACAATATTACACATTTTGAGTGATACATCTTGTAAAGAAGTACAGTTCGCTTTACACTGTATAGTGTAATAAAGTACACTTTTGCCCTGAACTATTATAGTTAAAGTAAGAGGACACTTGCTCGGGTACAATGTGTGAAGCCCATTTCTGGTGTGCCCCCATGACATTACTGGAATATAGCTAAAAGCTTTGTAAAACCACTTACCATGTGTCTCTAGACAATTCAGTATTGATCACTGTCAGTATTCAAGCTACATGTATATCGAAGTGCTCAATGAAACATTTGATAAATACATCAAATCATTTGACAGAAGAATCTAACCTGGTTATTTAAATCAAAACTGACCTACATTTTGCCAACATATATTAAGTAATGTCATCAGTCTATCACAACATTACTTTGATATAATAATCTAATCCATGTTATTGCATGTCCATTTGTTTAAGTGAGTGAGTTTAGTTTTACGCCGCCTTTAGCAATATTCCAGCAATATCACGGCCGGGGACACCAGAAATGGGCTTAATTGTTTAAGATACAAATGGTCTGAAAGAGCTTTAATGACCTTCACTGGGCTCTAACCCCTGAGATATTCGTCCTTGACCTACTTCTGAAATACAACCTTGATCTCATTGCAGATCATAATGTTTTTTGATATACTGGGGTAACAATTGTGACCTTGACCTATATTTGTAACATAACCTTTGCGTTATTGCAGGTCATATGTTTACTTTCAACATGCTTATACTACAGTGACCTTGACCTACTTCTGTAACATGACCTTCATCTTATTGCAGGTCATGCGTGTACTGTCAATATGCTTAAGGAGCAGCTCCTGAATCACGAGGACCTGCTCGAGTCACTGGACACAGAGCCCATTTTCGACTACCTCCTCCAACACGGCGTCTTGGACAAGACAGCCATTGACGGGATTTGTAATGAAAAGACGACCAAGGAACGGAACACTGCCCTGCTACGGCACCTCGAAGGCACTGGGAACAATGCAGTGGCGCTGTTCATCAACGCGCTGCGGCAGTCGGGACAACTTCACCTGGCCAGCACTCTGGACACATCCCAAAGGATTAAGCCTATCTACGGAACAGGTGTGTTGTCTTTTTCTGTGGATAAGGTATTTTGTCTCACTGGATGATGATATGATACCTGCCGTAAAATTAAACGTAACTACGGAACAGGTATGTTCTCTAAATCTGTGGATAAGGTACTTTATTCTCATTGGATGATGACATGATGCCTGCATTTAAAAAAAAAAATTAGGAAAAGAAAATGAGCTTCAGCAAATAAACAATTTCAAGATTTTAATGTGATGTTTTGAGGATTATCAAACATTAACGTTGCCTCTACTTTGAGTCTACTTTAAGACAAATAGAATGATGGATATTGCACAGCGATTTCTCTCGGATCATCAGATAAAATTGTTAAATATAATATTCATGTACTTTCATGTAGCAAGGTGTAATTAACATTTTGCATGATATATGTAAAACGGATTAATTAAATATCAATTGGAATGTAACATATTCATTACATGTGAATTAGAACATAACCATGGTAACTGATGACTATTGATAAATATAATTCAATTTTTACAGGTTACTGGGAGAAACAGAGACACAAAGGTCAAGTCATGGTCAAAATTCAGGTCAAGTCTGTCAAGGTTCTTGTACCTGTTGAAGAATCACCAGACAAGCGATATCGAACCAGAGATCTATGACGTCAAGATGACACCGCGCAGACTCCATAAGTCGTATGACAACATGCTGATGCTTGATCCAGATGAACAGCCCACGCCAAAACCAATCCGCATTGTGGATTATCCTTATGCTAAAGATGAAGAGGAAGAGGATGAACCCATCAAGCCTAAGAAATCTTGTTGGTGCATGTGTTTTCCTATGTTTCGTAGTCGTCGAAAAACGATCAAGGAAAAGAAATATACTGAGAAGGGGGCACCAGGTAAAGGTTCCCAGAATTCACAGTCCCCATCACGAGAGAAACTTAACCCCAGATCAATAAGTCCCACCAAACAGAAAATGAACTCCCCCTCAAAGGGAAGTAACTCTGGTTTGACCAATCCATGCGAGAAGGCGCTTAACGGGAATTCCCACTCACGGACCAACAGTCCCTTGAAGGACTCACGGACAGAATACAAGAACAGTGTTAATGAACAGCGAACACATTTAAAACAAGATCCCGATAACAAAGAAAATATGGACCCTGTAATAATGAGATATAACGATCAGTTGGAATTGGTCGAACTAAAACGTTACTCACACAAATCAAGTCCAAAACGTCATGCCTCGTCAAATTCCCTCATGTGTGAAAAGTGGAAACATGATGGTAAGCATTACGAGGAAAAATCAAGTGAATTTTATGGGCTGTTTGACAGAGATCTGAAAAACAGCTGCATAAAATATTTCGAACAGGATCGAGGGACACTCATCTTGCAGATTTTCAGCGATAACCAAGGAATAACTGTTTTCAATATTTGCATGACTCTAGACCAAGTCTCGAACCTTCATGAAGACTACACTGACGGCAAGCTACAGCAGAAACTACATTCTATTCTCATGGCTAATGGGACCATTGAACGACTGGATGTGCTCGACCTTGACCTTGCAATTACTATCGAGGACAACCAGTTTGATGAAGCAACACAAGAGCTTACGTGATGTTTAATTTGTGGCAGTGAATGGCGGCCATATGCAATTACACATCCATACTTCAATATTTCCACTACAGAACCAACTCGGGAGCACATCTCACGTTTTACGACACTAGCTGTACGACGTTTCCAGAGACAAGGAGAATAACAAATACAAAATATCATCTGATGTGACAAACTAACTGTCGGAGTTATCTACATATCAGAGACGCATCGAGTAAACGTGATTGATTACCCATTGCACAAAGATTCATGATCATCAAAATCGACTACAATCACGGTGACTGTCAGTATATCACACGCGCGGACATGCAAAGTTGACAAGTTTTCTTGTGTTTTTCGAGGAGAGATATATATGTTCTCAATCAAGATGTTTGAAATGTGCATCATTTCACTATCCGTTGGTCCTGTTGCAATGAAAGACACACCAAATACAGCGATTATTAATCGACAAATTCCTACATGGTTGCCATTTATGGTACCATAACCCTGACACGATCGATTCACCTGTTTGTGTGATGTGAAATGTAAAATATATATGTGTGGTTTTTGCCTTGTGTTTTCGGCGGTTGTCATTACATGTATAAATTAGCACCAATAACAATGTAGAATCTAGCTCAATGCGATGGACAGCAACAGTGGTGCTCCAATCATCCAATATCAATTCTTTTAGCCGTCATTACCGATCCTCATACTGTTGAAAGGCTAAGCACTGAGTGCTCACCATTTTATAATTTCTGTCTGGGATACGTACATTGCAGCGGCCACCTCGTACATTGCAGTTGTAAATGTGTATATTACAGCGGCCATCATGTATAGCATTCACAGACTGATGTCAACTCACTGTAGTTGTCAAATGTTTGTTTCCTTTAAGAACCTAATAGTGCTGTGTTGCCATGGTAATGGACAACCTCAGTTGGAAAGTCTGTTGCTAGGTTTGGAGATTATCTGTAGTGTACAAAAATTGTGATTGCAGTGAATGTGAAAATGTCTCATAGTTTTTGAGGAGTTTATGCATTTATGCAGAAATGTGGAGTATCTAGATCAAGTTTATGCACACTGACTTATGTGATGTTTGTATCGTACATTTCACCTGCTCTTGAAGCACCCCTTTCACACTTTACAAACATTGGAGACAAAAAGTTCATAGTGTTATTGTTCAAAGAAAGAACAGGATGTGATGCTTCTTTCTTTCCAAACATTTAGTGAACAAACAGGAGGATTATGTCTAATAATTAGAAAGACTTTATTCACTAGTTTGAATGACAAAATGGCAGATTTGGTGAAACCATTAAAATATTGTGATATTTTTGTGATAGATATATATGCTGGTTTAATTAATAAAGTACCAAAATGATACTTTTTCATTGTGTGCTCAATTTACAATATCTGTTAATATAAATTATTAAAAGCACCTCTCTTATAGATAGGGTGACAAGTAACTACTTAACGGATTGACCCTGTGATAATACATTTCAATATTTGCAAGAAAGCATTTTTCCTTGTAAATTTAGAGATAGATTAAGCGATAAATTTACACATTTTAGTTTTAAAAAAAAACAGATTCAAAATTTGCAATGAAAAATTGCTGAACTTAAACCTATGATACTGCTATGATGATACACATGTTATTAACAAAATGTGAATATTACTAAAACAAATTTAGATGAAAATGAATACTGTAAGAATGAGGTGATACAGAATTGATACGTCATCACATTCAACAGACTCTAGTTCTTCTTTGCTAGACAAGAATAGAAACTTAGTCCCTTATACGCTAATTTCCTTAAAACTGATTTTCCCCAGATAAACCCAGTGACACTTGGTATTGTAAACAGAACATATACTGATTTCCACAAAACTGAGTTTAATCTAGTCACAGTCCTTGTTTTTTCATTAATTAATATATCAGATTGTGTTTAATGATGCAAAACATGTCTTCCTAATGACACAAATCAGAACTTAACTCAAAACCTCGTCACTCGCCTCTCTGTAAAGTAGTGTTGAACTGCCTTGTCACAACAGTGTCGTGTTTACACCAGTATAACTGTTGTAATGCTGTTACATTGTTTGATCTATCAAGTACAACTGTTTTATTGTCAGATTTGTTTCTTCATGGAAAGTGTGCCACAAGGCAAAATACTAATATGAAATATAAACACAGGCTTCCTCTGTTATGATTCTCTTCAAAAACAAACCTCTTTGAATTAAAGTTTGAGAAAGACTTAACATCAATAGATGCTTAAAATGACCTTCAAATTTATGCCTTATTGAGGTTATTTTTTCACTCTTGTAACATTCAGTTTGTCTGTTAAAGATGAAAAAGATTAATCTTGCCTTACAGTAGAAGGCTGCCGTGATATTGCTGGAATATTGCTAAAAGCGGCCAAAAACTAAACTCACTCACTATAGTGGAAGGTTTACATATAATATATGAAAACATTTCTTTTTCAAGTTAAATATTTCAGAAATGTTAACTTTCATATTGATTTGAACAAAACAATATAAGAACATATCCAATGTGTCATGACAACGGGATCGAGCGCACTTAATAGATCAAATATGGTAATGCTTGTTTGTATATGACACAGTGACACAAAGTGGGCATTTCATGTTTCATTGAAACTTTCACTTCACAAACTTGAGGACCATCTCATTTTTAATTCCAGAATTCATTCTTAAGACTGTGAAATAGTTTTCAGTGTGCTATTTGTTATGTAATCAGAATCGTCCAAAGAGTATTTTGTCAAAGAAAGTTTGAAATTGAATTAGACTCTGAAGATATTTCACAGTCAAAATGGGGTGTTATTTAACATATATCATACAGTATTTATCACAGTAAGCTGAACTTTCCAATTATATTGAATTTCTTGTTTCCTTTTTATATACACTTCTTGGTGTGTGAAATCATTTTTGTTTTCTCTCCACCCATGTACTAGCTATTTAAAAGTAGATAAATTTTATTTCTTAAATGTTATTTTCCTAAGCAAGCAAGAAATGTGCCTTCAGTCAGATGTAATCGGAGCAGCATGGACCCCATGGTGATGTGAATGATGATAGGATGTTCAAGTCCAAGGTATGAATGATCAAAGAAACAAATGCTGAAAATGTTAATTATGTTACGAATGACTGCTGGTTTAGCTTCATTTTCTCATAGAATATCTAGTTCGTCTTCAGAATCAAGGCCGTGTATCTTAGTTGCACTGGCCAAATTTTAATGCCATGTTTCAATGATAACTTTTTCTGATTTACTACAAGAGCATTTGCTTTTAAAAGAATATGATGGTAAATATGTATGATATAACTCTGTTACAGAAATATATTTGTGTTCATAAGGTTTCCAGTTTTGTGTGATCTTAAAAATCACATAAGTCCTTTTATGAAGTTATATAATTAATAATGAATTGAGTGAGTTATGCCCTGTAATGTTTTGGTTTGATCGTTGAAATATTTTTTAACCAATGGTGAACAATAGGTTATGATATAGAACATGTGAATTTGATTATTCATGATTACTTGAATTACATAATAAACAATGCATGTCATAATATGGATAGTTGTTCTAGTAATATTAAGTCCTTTTATTGCTTGGTTTGCAGATTTGTTTTTCACAGAGTTAACTCCCTTTTTCAGGAGTGCTATTTAACCAGAAAGAATTGTGGAAAATAGAAAACGTTTTGTTTAGGCAGATCTGTAAACTAAGACATAAGATTAAGCCACCTTATATTATACTTTGGTAACAAGATTACATGTGGTGCCAATGGTTTGAAGTTGATTTGTTGACACGCCCCATCAAAGGTGAGACAAAGCTAAAACAAATGTTCACCACACCTTCGCAGGAATTACTTGACATTGATTCAATTTTATGTTGTAATATTTTCTGAAATATTTGTTAGTTGGGAGATAATGTTTCTTTGAAGCAGTATTTTAATGACAAAAACGTTAAATTATTTATTTAGACTCTTTGTCAGGTCATCAGACGAACGATTACTGACACCAGAATTACTGGCATTTGACAGAGACCATTTACCGGTATATGGTCTCTGCATTTGACAAGATGATGAGAAGTATGATCATGTATTTTATAGGTTTTTTTTATGTTTCTTACATAGTAACATAGCAGAAATTGGTGCACTTACCATTAATTAGTTCTTGATTATGTCTTTTTAGTATCAACTACTAATTAACACTGACAATGATACCAAGGAAGTGTGTCCAACAGAATTTTGTGAATGAAGGGAGGCAACTCCAATCTGGTTACATCGACACCCGTGTGATGGGTGGAAACACAAATCTGGATCTATTCTTGAATGCCTTCAATGAATTCAACACAAATTGTTCCCTTTGATTTTTTTTGACAAATATTACTTGCATTTGTTACATGTACATTTTTTTCTTCCAAAGGATATAATCTGAACTGTTAAATGGATTAGACTAAAAATTACGCTTGCTTTCTGATCTGAAACTGTTTTCCAAATCAAAGTATTTTCTCTCTATATGTCATGTATTTCAGACAATATTACAGAACAATTATCACATACTGAGACTTAGTATGTGTGAATATTAATTTATATGTTATAACTTATGTTGGAGAAGAAATATGAGTTTTTATTTAAATTTGAGTGCAGCTCAGTGTATATTTATTCCTTCAATCGGTTGAATGATTTCATTATTTTAGTGGTTGTTATCCTATAACAAATAATGGTGCAGCATTGAGTTTGTTTCCTTCTGTTAAGTAGACCGTAACAAATTAGATATTTGTTTGTCAGATTGCCATACTGTCTTTCCATAAAACAACAAAAACTAGTGGATTTTTTAAAAAACAAAATATGCGGGCCTGGTCGCATTCCACAAAACGTTCTCTAACTACGACATTCGATATTCGTAAGCATATGATAAACTATAGAGTTACGACATGCTCCGAAAGCTTTGGGGGGCGGTGGGGTAGCCTAATGGTAAAGGCGTTGGCTCGTCACGCCGAAGACCCGGGTTCGAATCCCCACATGGGTACAATGTGTGAAGCCCATTTCTGGTGTCCCCCGCCGTGATGTTGCTGGAATATTGCTAAAAGCGGCGTAAAACCAAACTCAGTCAGTCAGTCAGTCCGAAAGCTTTGTGGATCAGGTCCCAGGTTCCTGTTGTACAAAGTAACCTTAGAACTATGACAGTCGTCAGTCTATGGTATGATATAGTCTGTTTGGTTTAAAATGATACTGATGAATCACAATCTAACTCCAAATCGTTCATGATCAAACATTCATTTCAAGCAGGATGTAATGAAAACATCAAACCAACTCTGGAAAAAAGTTTCATAACATTTGTCTCCAAAATATAAAAGTTACTTAACAAACTATCATCATTTTGATTTGATTTTCTGTGTGAAGTTTTACAAAGGTAAAATAACAGTAAACTGTTGCAGGAACAGCCTCAAGGGCAGAAAGAATGTACAGCTTAGAAATTGGAGTTAGATTGTGATTCATCCGTATCATTTTGACCCAAACGGACTGTAGTTACGATCACCTTGGTGCTACGATCATTGTATAACAACATGTTGAATGTTTAAAACGTTACTGTGGAACTGACATGGGTTCTGGCAAACAAATAATTAATTTATTCTGTCTGGATCATTGTTTATAGAGGACTACCATCCTTGTAGAGAACTACACATCATTGGGACAGAAGTCTGATCAAATTCAACATTTCACATGATCTTGACGATAAAATCATTGTTTGAATTTACTGTTGGAAACTTACAACTTTGTAAAAATTATAAAAATTGTGAATTTGTTATGATTCATTTATTAGCCTAATCATCACCGGCATGGTTTGTTTATTGAAATAATCAACTCTAAAACATAACTGTGTTTAGCCATTTCTTTTGGAGACTTAGCCCAAAGCTAACTTATGATTTCTTGTCTGGAAAGTACTATAAATTTGGCACAAGGCATTATGGGTAATACTTGTGAAAATATCTGTTACTGATGAGAATGTATTTTGGATCATGGCTGAATGCTATCATTGGTGAATCAAGCTTCATCATGAATAAAATATCAGAAACAAACGTGTTGGATTATTCTTTCATTCAAGATGGATTATAATTCCTTCCAAGAAACAGTTTTTGTGGTGATCAACCTTACTGCGTGACCAGAGATACAAGGACTCCAGGGTATGTAAAGCAGACGTTAAGGTCTGGACTGGAAGCCATTTTTGTGAATTCCTTCACATGGAACTCACTCATGTTATAATGACCCACTCTTCTCTCTTTCATTGACTGACTGACTGAGTTTGGTTTTACGCCGATGTTAGCAATATTCCAGCAACATCACAGCAGGGGACACCAGAAATGGGCTTCACACATTGTACCCATGTGGGGATTCGAACCCGGGTCTTCGGTGTGACGAGCCAACGCTTTAACCACGAGGCTACCCCACCGCCCCTTCTCTCTTTCAACAATGACATCAGCTCTTGAACAATTTAGCTCTATATCTCCTTCTTGTCTTAAACTCTAATCTTTGATGGAAACTATGGGTTAAAAACTGAACCCTTCCTTCAAATTAGCTTTTTTGAGTTGTGGTGACATGAAAAGAAGTAAGGTAGTTTTATGCCGTTTTTAGCAATATTCCAGCAATATTACGGCTGGGGAGATCAGAAATGGGTTTCACACATTGTACCCATGTGGGGAATCAAATCTGGATCTTCAGTGTGATGAGTGAACACTTTAACCACTTGGCTACCCCACTACTCACCAGATGGTAAGGACACTGCTATATATACAACTAACCTGCAGCAGAATGGGCCTGATATGGCAGATTGTACCTGAATTATACTTTATATAGGATACCAAGATCTGGCTTTTCACATTGAAGACAACAAACCAACAAGAGTTATCTCCCACTTTTCACATAGAAAACAACAAACCAACAAGAGTTATCTCCCACTTTCCACATAGAAACCAACAAACCAACAAGAGTTATCTCCCACTTTTCACATAGAAAACAACAAACCAACAAGAGTTATCTCCCACTTTTCACATAGAAAACAACAAACCAACAAGAGTTATCTCCCACTTTTCACATAGAAAACAACAAACCAACAAGAGTTATCTCCCACTTTTCACATAGAAAACAACAAACCAACAATAGTTATCTCCCACTTTTCACATGGAAACAACAAACCAACAAGAGTTATCTCCCACTTTTCACATAGAAAACAACAAACCAACAAGAGTTATCTCCCACTTTTCACATAGAAAACAACAAACCAACAAGAGTTATCTCCCACTTTTCACATAGAAAACAACAAACCAACAAGAGTGATCTCCCACTGCTGCTCTCCAACCAGTCTGTTTTGCGGTCAATGAAACACATTATTTTCCCTTCCACCCAGCCCTTTCTGCAAAGCTGAAGCCCAAAATAAAGCAAGTCCAGATTTCCTCAGGTTCAGGATCTCCCTGAATTTCTCATCTCTCTGGGGCTCCTTTTCGATTTACAGGAATTATTTGTTTCTATCAAATTATATATTCAGAGACTACTCTCCAACTGTTGCTGGACAGAGTAGTTGCAGTAATAACGTGAAAGAAAGCAACATATGTTATATTTGGGATTACTCTTTCTCAGTAAAGTACAGTTTCTAGTACTTATTGGGTTGAGTCCCATCCGGGATTCGAACCCAAACCCTCAGAGTCAGGCACCTAATCACCAGCACACAAAGTCAGACCCCTAGACCAACGAAAGAAAGCAGTTTGAAATAGCTTTCTCTCAAATATATGTGTAAAAATGTAAGTTGAAAGATAGTATGTTACTAGATACATTAGCAGTTTGTAGAAAAGGAGACTTGCTGTACAAGCGCTGCTGCACATGCACAATGGCAGTTGATTGTATAAGACTGCAGCTTGGTTTGCAACATGCCAGTGGTGTGTACTGTTTGTTACAAGTAGCAGCCGAGTGTGCACAATACCTGGTGTATGAACACAACTGCCGCAAGAAGATTTCCTGATATACAAGATGGGTGTTGTATTTACAAGATGGCAGCTGTGTAGACAAATGGCAGCTGTATGTTTTGCATACACCATTAAATTTAGTAAATATTCCTTCCATTTTAACCATTCAACCTTGCTTCATCATGTTTATTCTTGAAATGTTACGTATTTGTGTTGGAAATAAAATATAAGAAGACAGAATATCATACATGTTATGCACAAAAAATATCACATCAAAAGAGAAATATGAACAATGATGCCAATGTGAAGTACCTGAAATAGACTCAATCAGTTGAAAATTGGAAATTTTACTGTAGTATTCAGGTCAAATAACATTGATAAAATATCTCCATCCGAAGCGATGTCTGTTTTGACTGTGACGATTTGAATTCTGTGAGCACATTTTAGCAACCCTATAAATGGGATCAAACATAGTTTCAGCACCGTAGGCCTTGTAGTCAGAGGAGAAATAATAGTAATAATGATAATAATGATGGGTATTTGTAAAGCTGTATCCATCCACAAGGAAAAAATGTTATGTACATGTAGATAGAAATGCAAAAATGAAAGACACCTCAGTTAGTCGAGCTCAATATATAATTTTGGAAGCAGTCAAAATAAATTCCTGAGACAAAAAAGTGAAATCTGACCTGTATACAGAATCTGCTGCCATGTCGTTGATGGAGACGAGGTAGGCCCCGAACCGGAATGCCCCGGCGTACAGCAGGAACACGACGCCTTGTGAGAAGCCAAAGGTGACGCCATACACGTGGGCTTGCTTCAAGTTCTCTCTGTGAAGGAGTGAGTGAGGTTGTGATTAACATACATATGCATTATTCCAGCTCAGTCACATCAGCTTGTAAATACCATTTATTTTGGAGTGTGGAGAAGGCAGTTCAGTGGTTGATAATATAAGTAAGTGACTGCAAGAATTTGGGAGTGGGATGGTGATGAAGGTATGTGTAATTTGCAAGCTACACCACAAGAACTGAGACTGGACCAGGCAGTTTAGTGGTTAATGGCATAAGTACATGAGTGAGTGAGTGAGTTTAGTTTTACGCCGCACTCAGCAATATTCCAGCTATATGGCAGTGGTCTGTAAATAATCGAGTCTGGACCAGACAACAGCATGGGATACAATGGCATGTGTCAACCAAGTCAGCGAGCCTGACCACCCGATTTCGTCAGTCAACTCTTTCAACAAGCATGGGTTGCTGAAGACAAGTTCTAGTATGTGAGTGAGTAAAGTCTTATGCTGCTTTTAGAAATATTTCAGCAATATCACAGCGGGGGATACCAGAAATGGGATTCACACATTGTACCCATGTGAGGAATCAAACCCAGATCTTAGGCGTGGTGAGCGAACACCACAGCCCTGTCTTACTTTTGAATTTTTTAAGCGAGGATACCTTAGATTCATGAACTCACTTGTAAGGTTTGAGGATCTCTGTACAATACCGCTCGTAGAAATGTGTCTCCCTTGTAAGTGACTGAACAGTCCGGACATTCTCTATAGCTTCCGCAGCAGTCTAGGTGCAAACAAGTGAAAACAGGTTTACTTCCTACGCAAATGTATTATCTAGAGTGAGTGAGTAAGGTTTTAAACTGCTTTTAGCAATATTCCAGCAATATCACCAGAAATGAGCTTCACACATTGTACCCATGTGGGGATTCGAACCCAGGCCTTTGGCGTCTTGAGTGAACGCTTTAACCACTGGGCTACCCCCACCGGCCTGTATTATCTAGAGAATTACATTTACTTTTCCTTATTTACCTGAAACAAATATTAACCATAATAAAAACATGAAATACCATTTCTAACTGACTATATATAAACAATACTAAAAAGAGTTTGAAGATTAACATGCACTGCCTTATGTAGATACGTAAATATTGACATGAATATATTTCTTAAAGCAAACAGTGTACCATTACACATGTACATAACATGTGATATCAGTTTTGTTTGTTTGTAGTTTAATGCCACATTAAACAATATTCCAGCTATATGGCGGCGGTCTGAAAATAATCTATTCTGGACCAGACAATCCAGTGATCAACAGCGTGAACATCGATCTATGCTGTTGGCTTACGATGACATGTGTCAACCAAGCCAATGAGTCTGACCACCCGATCCCGTCAGTCGACTTTTACAACAAGCATGGGTTGCTGAAGATCAATTCTACTCCAGATCTTCATGGGTAAACACGTAATATCAAGCAGGAATGAAACAATAGACTTGTGCACCAGTGCATCATGGGTCTTCTTTCGATGATATAAGACACGATACATCTTTTCTGCATCGATACAAAGCAATACGCTAAAATACTTGTTTAACCCAAGCCTTTTCGGCAAATATCGCAAAAAATAATTTCAAATTCACCACTGAAAAGGCACTACAAACATGCATGAAGATATAGCTCTTCCTATGGAACTTGCTCTGAAACATTTATTGTCAGGTTTCCTCGTGATTTAACGTAAACCTGTGTTTAATGATAAATATCATATCACTGATATTGCGATATATATCATATCACGACTTTTGAAACATATTATTTATCGTATACTGCTGTATCATTTCACCCATGTTTGGCGATGGCAACATCTACCTTTCCAGCATCCTCAAGGAGCTCGAGTCACGTTTCTGGTTTCCAGTCACAGCCCTCATCTGTATAGCACCTGCATAGTGGTTGCAGGAAGGAGTACGTTAAAATTTAACATCACATTATTGTTCCTTCTAAGATGTTTAGAGACTAAACAAAGCTGATATTTTAATAACAAGTGGAGCAACTTTGTCAGTGAACAAGATAAGATATTGTTTTTGTTATTTTTTGACAAGAAAAGAAACCTGTATTTTCTAAGTTATCTTTAGTAACTTTCACTGAAAGCAAGAATGAAACTGATATAGTTCTGGTATTAATTCTTTGTTAACTTGAGTGAGCTTTTAATTTCATGTTTTATGATCAACATGGTACTGATCACTAAAGAATTATATATTAAGGATGATTTGTCTGCACAGGCAAAAGATTTGCATCAGTCTTACAGATATGACACTCAAATCAGTGAGTGAGTGAATTAAAAGTCACATCGGCAGTATTTCAGCCAGGCATCAAGATGAATACAAGGTCTTTCATGATAAATACAAGGTCTAAATTCATGATAAATACAAGGTCTAAATTCACATAAATAAAAGGTAAATTCCTCATAAATATCAAGATAAATTCGTGATAAATACAAGGTCGAAAGTCATGATATATACAAGGTCTAAATTCATGATAAATACAAGGTCTAAATTCATGATAAATACAAGGTCTAAATTCATGATAAATACAAGGTCTAAATTCATGATATATACAAGGTCTAAATTCGTGATACATACAAGGTCTAAATTCATGATAAATACAAGGTCTAAATTCATGATATATACAAGGTCTAAATTCATGATAAATACATATAAACTATCCCAAAAAATGTGAACAAAAGATAGTAAAAACAACTAGAATATCACAGACACAGATATAAAACTAGTATGAAAATCTAAATTTTTATAACTATTGAAGACAATACAGTATTAAAAAACAAACTATAGATTGCCAACAACTGAAGGTAGATCACCATACCAGGGACCATGGGGACTTATAGTACATTTGCTTTCTGCATGGATCCTAGCTGGTTTTACACCAACCCTTCAGCTGTTAGCAATTTAGACAAATCTAAACATAATTTAAAAGAACACATATCATTGAAGAAGTTGGTTGGTTGGTTGGTTGTTGTTTAACACCACACCCAGCAATATTCAAGCTATATGGTGGCGGTCTGTAAATAGTCAAGTCTGGACCAGACAATCCAGTGATCAACATCATGAGCATCAATCTACGTAATTGGGATATGATGACATGTGTCAACCAAGTCAGCAAGCCTGACCGCCTGATCCCATTAGTCATCTTTTATGACAAGCATGGGTTACTGAAGATCAATTCTAACCTGGATCTTCACAAGTGCAAAGAAATAGCATAATGATATCTACTTGAATGATAGTTAGATTCTCACCTGCTAATGCCATGACAGGTACACCTCCAAGTACAACTAGAGCTAGTTTCCACCCAAAGATGAAAGCAATGACAAGACCTGCGACCAGTCCCACGATAGACTGAATCATTGTAGCGAGACGAATGCCTGTCGCCTACAACAGAAAAACAATACAATCATCAATATCAGAACCTGATGCCATGTAGGTTCATCTTAACAAATCAGCAGAATTATAAACTTTGCAATCACAATGTAACATTTTTTTCACCCATTACTTAAATATTCTGATTTGGTTGTTTGTTGTTTAACCCCACGCTCAGCAATATTCCAGCTATATGGCAGCTGACTGTAAATAATCAAGTCTGGACCAGACATTTCAGTGATGAACATCGGAAGCATCGATCAACGCAATTGGGATACGATGGCATGTGTCAACCAGGTCAACGAGTCTGACCACCCAATTCGTTAGTGGTTGCTGAAGACCAATTCTAACCAAGGTTAACCACATCAGCAAGCTGACAAGGTGGGACACCTCAACAACCCTGCTACATAATGTAATATTCCTAAAAACTTAAAGTGAGCTACAGAGCTCGTTGTCATTCTTTTCTTTTGTCAGCAATGATTTGGTTGACTTACATTCTTGACCATGGATGCGTCTGTAGCCAGTCTGGTGGTCAGGGCACCTGACGAGTGCTTGGGGTCATCGAAGTAGGCCACATCCTGGCGGAGTATGTTCTTGAATACCTTCAGTCTCAGCCTCATTGTGAGTCTCTCGCCTGATTGGCCAAAGGAATAGGTCTAAAAAAGTAAATGGGTATGTGAATTGATTTTCTGGAATATCTGAAAATGGCTTAGTCTTACAAATATGATGGTTCCATCCCAGTCCCAGAAACCCTATAATGATTCCATGGATGTCATCACTTGACAACCATTTCTCTGAGCCATCATCTCTCCAGCTTTTAGCTTTTAAGACATCAGAGTTGTCTCCCTTCCAGTGATCCTAACAATATTATGACAGTGAACCTGCCTTCCTTAGAGTTATAATTATAGTTATTAAAATGCCTACCTTCCAATTATAATAACGATTATAACATCAAACTTGCTTCCCTTCATGAAATTATTAATGCAACATCAATTAATCCGCCCGTCCAGTAATAACAATTATAAGATCAGAATTGCTTCCATGCCAGTGATAATAAGAATAATAACATTGAAACTGTCTTAATAACAATTGTAACATCAAAATTTACTCCCATCCAGAGATACCAACAATTATGACTGACAAAATTATTGTTATCACCAAAAGGGATACATTTTCTAAGTTATCATAAAATGGGGAGAATAGCCTTGCTCTGAGGCTGTACTGAATGCTGAATGCCATGGATGTATATTAATTCCTTTAAAGAGGCAAGTTTAGATAGTGTGCTATATATCATTCTTTAGAAATCATCATTTAAACTATTAACTTTTACCTAAGAGACTTGTGCAAGTCTAATAGGGAGAAGTGAAGGGCTCAATTCTTCAGATGGGTACAATGTGTGAAAGCAAATCTTATGTTCTGTATGATATGACTGGAATGTAGTTAAAAGTTGCTCAAGCAATACCTGGATGGAGTTAGTGAGGAAGTTAGCACCGCCTAGTGCCAGGAACATGAGGCTCCAGAATACAGCATCATCCTTCAGTTGGTCTCCCGTCTCTCCGAACACCTGGTGACAGTGACGGTGCTTCATACCACTTACATATATCACATTAACATAAACAACTTGGAATTGAGGCAAAACAAAGTGAATTGCTTGTTGAAGTTACCTTTTTGGTCAATGTGAAAACAAAACATGTCAGTTCTGATTTAAGTTTCATGTCCTAAATAGTTCGAAAATGTAGAAAATGTAAAGGTCAAAGAGTGGTACTTATATAAAAACATATTAACAACAAAGTTTACTATATAATGTAATGTATCAGTTGAACATGACAGTTAGGTACTTGGTCAGGCCTCTGTGCAAAACACAAAATACCATCTTACAAAAGCACATACAAGGAACACTTATTGAGTAAAAAGTACCACTACTGATTTCTCAACAATAAAACATGGCAAAAATAACAAACAATATTGATATTTTTACATCAAGGGCAATGCAGAGTAGTCTAAACATAACAAAGCATATAAATACCAAAAATATATAACCCAAAAGGAAACAGAAAATATCACACAAATGACTACAGGTAAAGACTTACAGTTTTTTTCATCAAATATATTTTATGCATAAATACATGACAAGTTTCATGGATAACTTCTTTTATTCTCCATCATGACCTTTCAGAGCTAACTGTTGCTCCTTCATCAGGTGAATGCTGAGTTAGTTCACCTGATGAAAGAGACCCGTGAAGGTCCGGGTTAGAATAATGGTCTTCAGTAACCCATGCTTGTCGTAAGTGGTGACTAACAGGACGGTGGTCAGGCTCACTGACTGGGTTGACACACATCATCGTATCCCAACTGCGTAGAACTATGCTGATGCTGATGATCACTGGATTGTCTGGTCCAGACTCAATTACTTACAGACCGCAGCCATACAGCTGAATATTGCTGAGTGTGGCATTTAACAAAATACAACAACCAACCATCCTGATGAAAGTGCAAGAATTAGCTCTGAAACATCACGATAACGAATAAAACAAAGTTGTTATCCATAAAATGAGTCATGTTATCATGTTCGTCCAACTTCTAAATGCCTTTTAAGAACTATATTTTACACACCCTGATAATTTCACTGAAAAACACCGCAAACAGTGGCATGGTGCAGCCATTGAGGGAGGCAGCGATGCACCCCATGATGATGAATGGCAGTTCAGGTGCGTTCTCATGCATCATTCGACAAAACCCAGGCTTGTCGACTTCCTCTTCCTCTTCCTGCCAAACATAAGAAAATATATTGTCCCATCTTCCACTGCTGGTACCATATTTGTGTGCAAGTGAGTGAGTTTAGTTTTACGGGGCTCTAAGCAATATTCTAGCAATACCACAGCAAGGAACACCAGAAATGGGCTTCACACATTGTACCCAAGTGGGGAATCAAACCTGGGTCTTCGGCATGATAAGCAAACGCTTTAACCACTAGGCTTCTTCACTCCCCAAGATATTCCCTGACGATGCTTGCAGGCATCATCGGTTACCATGGTGTTTTGCTATGTCTGTACAGTCTTATTGTATATGTCCTTATAAAATCAGGTAAGTTCAAGGACTTGATCTTGTTCAAGTGTGATAAAATGCCTCCTGAACTTCTACACAGTTTATCTTCTTACCTTCATTTTGAGTTCCTCATAATCCAATGCACGCAAGTGTGAAAAGAATAAAGTCAAATTTTCTTTCATTTGAAAACAAACACTTTCATAGTAACAAGAGATGATTGATTCCATTGAACAATCATCAAAAATATTTCTTTCATGTTTTTCTCCAAAATCATCACAATCCCATTTTTCTAAATACAAATATATTTATCATGTTCCTGTTTTGTTCAGGCATATTCACGTTCCTCTGCGTCTTCTTCCTTCTGAAGTTTTGTTGACTATTGTCACTTACATTTGACATAAAAAATATTCCCTATATGCTTCAATACTGCCATTATAGAAAATTACAAAATGTGCCGCCAAATTCATCTTTAACAGATCTGTCACCCATTTAATTAACATATTACAAGATATCATCACATTGATTTAAAAGATTTAAGATGACAAAGGAAAGGTTATAAAAAAAGCAACATATTTGTGAGAATAGTTTAACTTTAAATAATGGAAGACTCATTCAAATGGCTAACAACAAGCTTCATCTTGATTACACTTGCAATTTTTGGAATTTGGGGAAACTGTTCATATCTAACAAGCTTATAAGAACAAGAGGGAAACAACAGACTCAGTTGGGTTGTTTAGCCCTTCTACTTGCTCTATATTTTGGTCAAAATGCCCCTAAAAAACTATAATTGTGACAAACTCATGTTATTGATCACTTCCAATTGGCTAAACCTGTAGTTATGATAATATGGGTGACAAAGGTAGGATTTTCATCTTCAAATATAATAAAGCAATTGGAAAGTTTGTGTACCACAGATAAGTTTTATCCTACATAAGTGAATGCTTTAACCACTAGGCTACCTCACCACCCAGATATTCCCTGACGATGCTTGCAGGCATCATCGGTTACCATGGAGTTTTGCTATGTCTGTACAGTCTTATTGTATATGTCCTTATAAAATCAGGTAAGTTCAAGGACTTGATCTTGTTCAAGTGTGATAAAATGCCTCCTGAACTTCTACACAGTTTATCTTCTTACCTTCATTTTGAGTTCCTTATAATCCAATGCACGCAAGTGTGAAAAGAATAAAGTCAAATTTTCTTTCATTTGAAAACAAACACTTTCATAGTAACAAGAGATGATTGATTCCATTGAACAATCATCAAAAATATTTCTTTCATGTTTTTCTCCAAAATCATCACAATCCCATTTTTCTAAATTAATACAAATATATTTATCATGTTCCTGTTTTGTTCAGGCATATTCCGTTCCTCTCGTCTTCTTCCTTCTGAAGTTTTGTTGACTATTGTCATTTACATTTGACATAAAAATATTCCCTATATGCTTCAATACTGCCATTATAGAAAATTACAAAATGTGTGGGCCAAATTCATCTTTAACAGATCTGTCACCCATTTAATTAACATATTACAAGATATCATCACATTGATTTAAAAGATTTAAGATGACAAAGGAAAGGTTATAAAAAAAGCAACATATTTGTGAGAATAGTTTAACTTTAAATAATGGAAGACTCATTCAAATGGCTAACAACAAGCTTCATCTTGATTACACTTGCAATTTTTGGAATTTGGGAAACTGTTCATATCTAACAAGCTTATAAGAACAAGAGGGAAACAACAGACTCAGTTGGGTTGTTTAGCCCTTCTACTTGCTCTATATTTTGGTCAAAATGCCCCTAAAAAACTATAATTGTGACAAACTCATGTTATTGATCACTTCCAATTGGCTAAACCTGTAGTTATGATAATATGGGTGAAAAAGGTAGGATTTTCATCTTCAAATATAATAAAACAATTGGAAAGTTTGTGTACCACAGATAAGTTTTATCCTACATAAGTGAATGCTTTAACCACTAGGCTACCTCACCACCCAGATATTCCCTGACGATGCTTGCAGGCATCATCGGTTACCATGGAGTTTTGCTATGTCTGTACAGTCTTATTGTATATGTCCTCATAAAATCAGGTAAGTTCAAGGACTTGATCTTGTTCAAGTGTGATAAAATGCCTCCTGAACTTCTACACAGTTTATCTTCTTACCTTCATTTTGAGTTCCTTATAATCCAATGCACGCAAGTGTGAAAAGAATAAAGTCAAATTTTCTTTCATTTGAAAACAAACACTTTCATAGTAACAAGAGATGATTGATTCCATTGAACAATCATCAAAAATATTTCTTTCATGTTTTTCTCCAAAATCATCACAATCCCATTTTTCTAAATTAATACAAATATATTTATCATGTTCCTGTTTTGTTCAGGCATATTCACGTTCCTCTGCGTCTTCTTCCTTCTGAAGTTTTGTTGACTATTGTCATTTACATTTGACATAAAAAATATTCCCTATATGCTTCAATACTGCCATTATAGAAAATTACAAAATGTGCCGCCAAATTCATCTTTAACAGATCTGTCACCCATTTAATTAACATATTACAAGATATCATCACATTGATTTAAAGATTTAAGATGACAAAGGAAAGGTTATGACAAAGGAAAGGTTAAAAAAAGCAACATATTTGTGAGAATAGTTTAACTTTAAATAATGGAAGACTCATTCAAATGGCTAACAACAAGCTTCATCTTGATTACACTTGCAATTTTTGGACTTTGGGGAAACTGTTCATAACTAACAAGCTTATAAGAACAAGAGGGAAACAACAGACTCAGTTGGGTTGTTTAGCCCTTCTACTTGCTCTATATTTTGGTCAAAATGCCCCTAAAAAACTATAATTGTGACAAACTCATGTTATTGATCACTTCCAATTGGCTAAACCTGTAGTTATGATAATATGGGTGAAAAAGGTAGGATTTTCATCTTCAAATATAGTAAAACAATTGGAAAGTTTGTGTACCACAGATAAGTTTTATCCTACATAAGTGAATGCTTTAACCACTAGGCTACCTCACCACCCAGATACTGCCTGACGATGCTTGCAGGCATCATCGGTTACCATGGAGTTTTGCTATGTCTGTAGTCTTATTGTATATATCCTTATAAAATCAGGTAAGTTCAAGGACTTGATCATGTGCAAGTGTGATAAAATGCCTCCTGAACTTCTACACAGTTTATCTTCTTACCTCCATTTTAAGTTCCTTATAATCCAATGCACGCAAGTGTGAAAAGAATAAAGTCATATTCTCTTTCATTTGAAAACAAACACTTTCATAGTAACAAGAGATGATTGATTCCATTGAACAATCATCAAAAAACATTTCTTTCACATATTTCTCTAAAATCATCAGAATAATACATTCCTATTTTTCTCCCAAATAGACACAATTATTTTTTTCTTTTTGTGTCTAAAATTATCACAAATTATTTAATCTTTGAATTTTTTGGTCACGTTTGTTTGTAATCACCACAAATGTTTTGTTGCTGTTTCTGATATATTCACCCACCTCCGCCTCCTCTTCCTTCGTTTTTGGTTTTGATGTTTGCCGTGACAGCTGACGGGATGTCTGGCGATCTACTGTAGGCGACTTGACACTCGATGACTGGCGTTTGAAGTCCACACGTTTGAAGGAATCTCCATCTGAGATATGGCCGTTCTGAACTGAATACAAAGAAAATCATAAAATATAGATTGAGAAAAAGAATATCTTCCTTCTTCTAATGAGATCCGGATTTGAATTGGTCTTCAGCAACCCATGCTTGTCGAAAGAGGCAACAAACGAGATCAGGTCGTCAGGCCTGCTGACTTGGTTGACACATATCATCGTATCCCAACGCAGATCAATGCTGATGCTGTTAAACACTGGATTTTCTGTTCCAGACTAAATTATCTACAGACTGCCACCATATAGCTGGAATATACTGAGGCGGGAAACAACAAAGAAAGAAACTCTAGTCTTGAATTCAACCACTACCAGCAGATCCACTCATAACTAAGGGACACTACTCTGCACAGTTACTTACAGCTACAAGACCACAGTGCTAAATGGAAACCAGTTCCGTACCGTTGGCTCCGGTCATCATTGTCCACTTCCTCTGCGATGGTTTGTAGCGTGACAAGCTGGTAGTATGGCCCGTTGTGGGACATCAGTTCTGAGTGTTTGCCCTGTTCCACAACCTCACCATCCTGTAGCACGTAGATGATGTCTGCATTCTGGATGGTGGACAGTCGGTGAGCAACCACGATGGTCGTGCGTCCTTCTCTAGCCTGTTGGGAGATCAGTGAGATATGCTGACTTGTGATTCAAGTTATCTTATCAATGCAGCATGTTTAATAATAATAATAATAATGCATTCATAAACTCCATTCACAAAGTGAAAATTCACTAGTTGGGTAAAGCTTCAGAAAATTCCAACTATATTCATAGGTCCCTTCAATTTCAACACAATGGTATCTGTATATAACGTCTAAAGTTATGATATATTGTCATGTGATATGATACATGTCAAAGGTCACATACCTTCTTTGTGGTAATGAGGGGAGGTGAAATTGGGTTTAACGTCGTGCTTGAGAATATTTCGCTCATATGACGACGTGCATGCATGTGTATGTGTATGTGCGGCTGCTTGTACTAGTCCAGACTTAAGCTGGTTTTATAGTGCTAGCCCACTGAGATACCATGCCGCATTGAAGCATGAATACCCCACTCAGACACATTATACTGACTCCAAGCCGACCAGTCCTTGTTGTACCCATTAATGCCGAGCGCCAGGCAGGGACCAACAAGTACCATATATTAACGTCTTTTGGTATGATGCAGCCGGGGATCGAACCTGCGACCTTCCGCTCTCCGGGCGAACGCTCTAACCACTACACCACAGAGGCGGTCTTGTGGTAATGAAACGTATGTGTAGTCATATGATATATGTCTGTATACCTTGTCTAGTCTAGTGACATATATCTGTATACCTTATGTTGTGTTATGATATGTCTGAGGTTGAATACCTTGTCTTGTGTAAAGATTACTGTCTGAGGTCCCAAACTTGTCTGGGGTCCTATACCTTGTCTTGTCCGGGGTCCTGTACCTTCTTTAGTGCTATGATATATGTCTGGGGTCCTATACCTTGTCTAGTGTTATGATATATGTCTGAGGTCCTATACCTTGTCTAGTGTTATGATATATGTCTGGGGTCCTATACCTTGTCTAGTGTTTATGATATATGTCTGGGGTCCTATACCTTGTCTAGTGTTATGATATATGTCTGGGGTCCTATACCTTGTCTAGTAATGTTTTATGATATATGTCTGGGGTCCTATACCTTGTCTAGTGTTGATATATGTGATATGTGTCTGATATATGTCTGGTCCTATACCTTGTCTAGTGTTATGATATATGTCTGTATTTATGATATATGGGTCCTATACCTTGTCTGTCTAGTGTTATGATATATGTCTGAGGTCCTATACCTTGTCTAGTGTTATGATATATGTCTGGGGTCCTATACCTTGTCTAGTGTTATGATATATGTCTGAGGTCCTATACCTTGTCTAGTGTTATGATATATGTCTGGGGTCCTATACCTTGTCTAGTGTTATGATATATGTCTGGGGTCCTATACCTTGTCTAGTGTTATGATATATGTCTGAGGTCCTATACCTTGTCTAGTGTTATGATATATGTCTGAGGTCCTATACCTACCTTGTCTAGTGTTATGATATATGAGGTCCTATACCTTGTCTAGTGGTGTCTGGGGTCCTATACTAGTGTTATGATATATGTCTGAGGTCCTATACCTTGTCTAGTGTCTAGTGTTATGATATATGTCTGAGGTCCTATACCTCGTCTAGTGTTATGATATATGTCTGAGGTCCAATACCTCGTCTAGTGTTAAGTCTGGGGTCCAATACCTTGTCAAGAGCTGCCTGCACAACACCCTCACTGGAAGAATCCAGAGCTGAGGTGGCCTCATCCAACAGAAGGATCTTGGGGTCTCGGATCAAGGCACGGGCAATGGCCACCCTCTGTTTCTGTCCTCCGGACAGTTGAGCTCCCCGCTCTCCAACCAGTGTGTCATAACCCTGAAACAACAACAGTTATGTAATATCTTAACTATTAGACCAAAGCATGGGAGATTCATATATCAGGTATCCAGAGTGTTATAAACAATGATATCTTCCTTCTATTATGATTAAAACCCTGGTCACATTTGCTGCTTCAGCTTTGTTTCAGAAGTTGCATACCTCCTTTGTATCCCTAACATAGCAGCAAGAATTTCTTAGAAAGGCTGTGAAACGAGGTTTATATTATTTACCATCCCAAAAGACAATGAATGATAACCTCTATTTATGTAACAGTTAAAACCAACTGGAAGAAAATGAGCCATGGCATACATGAGTGAGGGAGTAAACTTCACTCAAGGGTATCCCATTCGTGATCAACTCCGTGTTAATCCGGGACAAGTCGAATAGTGACTTGTGCCCCTCTGGAAGGTTTTCATATTGGCACATGAACATCAGAACTACTTTAAACAAGAACGATAACTCTATTCCTGTTTGATTCCACTGGTACTTAATATAACCCAAGCACTTGTACATTGTATTGCTGTTTTGGTTTTTACTTATTTATTTTAAGGAATTAAACGTCTTTGATACAACTAAAAGGAGAAAAGACATATTTGTTAAAGACATATTCTAATGTAATTATTACCAGTTGTTCATCTTATATTTCCCATTATATTTCTAAATAGGGTTTAATAATCACAAATGGGATTTGTTTTATTGAATATGCAAATAAGAGTTTTAAAAATTCAGCTCAATTAAATCCCAAAGCAGACACTCAAAAATGACTTTTAAATATTTTTCACACTAAACATTCATGTAATCTTGCTGTCATACCCCAAGTGGAATTTTTAAATGAATTCGCTGAAAATATATGAATGACCAAAAACAAGTCAGACTAAAATAATCCCATAGATGTGAAATATATGCCCAATGTTAAAGATTAAAGTTGATTAGTTACATACAGATATAATATAATTGTTTTAAAACTTGTAGCGATTTATAATTACATTTCCTAAAACTGATGGAAGCGCACATACAGTCTCCACAACAAGCCCGCAAGATCATCAGAAATACACTCAACTGGACCCATGAGAGCTGTTATGTAAACAAATGTATGTGCATACATTTGAATCTCTCACCTTCCATGGCAATATCTTCACTAAACACTGCACATGAGCCAAAAAAATTATGTTATATACATTCCTTGTACTTTCAATATGATGATACATATTTTTCATGATTTTCTAAACAATGACAAAATGTTAAAAAAGTTTTAAGTATTTGGGATTATTTTTATCAAAGTACCGCCTTCATTACGCAAGTTCTGGTTGGTTTTTCGTATTTTCGCACATAACAAGCATCGAGACAGGGTCTTCTTGGAGTTTACTGAAAGGGGTGAGTGGTGACGAATGAAGGGGATCCGTCCACTCTCCTACCCAGAGTTCCATGCAGCAAGCCAGCATAGTACCTCTGCCACAGGCCAGAAAGATGTGACGATTCGTCACATCTTGCACCGTCCATTCAATATAATGTACATATTTCTTAACTCTTTTATTCACCGGAGTGTGGGATCCGTTGTGAACGAACTACAGAACTGCACCAGTGTTGATTTGAGGTAAGGGAATATACTGACCATGTTATGAGGGAATATACTGACCCAGCTCCAAAAGGATGTTTTGACTTTGCTGAAAGGAATATACTGACCTTGCTTTATGGGAAGAGAAACCCCAGCTGCTGGTGCTGGTATGTGATCCGAACTCACCTGGGGCAGTTTACTGATGAAGTCATGAGCATTAGCCTGCTTTGAAGATGTAATGATGGCTGCCTCAGTTGCGCCAGGGTTGCCAAGGAGAATATTCTCCCTGATAGTACAGCCAAACAGAATTGGTTCCTGCGACACGATTCCAATATTTTCTCTGAGCCATCGAATGTTCAGTTCCTTCAAGTTGGTGTTATCCAGGTACACCTGTGTGAGTGAGTGAGTTGGGTTTAATGTGGCGCCATACAGTATCACACTTGGGAGAAAAGATGATATGATGCAGTTCTTGGAGGTTTACCACTTTTGATAAAAACAAATGAGAATTGGTGTGAAGATGACAAAAGAGAATGACAATCGGGACAAATCAGGGGTTCCAATGAAAGCAAGAAATTGACAGAAGCCAGATAGTTGACAGAAGCCATCATTTATGTGGCTCTTTAATAATCCCCTTACTTTCTTGTATTAACTGTTCTTGGTTTATGTTATTATTCATTGTTATCTCCTGTACATTGCTCACAGAGTATATATATGTCTATATCCAATCTGTGTAATTCACGTAAAGAAGGAGTATGAATTATCTCTGAAATATTGTGTCTTACAAATAAAGAAGTTGAAACCCAAACAATCTTTGACTCATGCTCATCAAAGAATTCATGATAATATATACTTGACATACATTTCCTGCATCTGGGTCGTAGAACCTCTGAATGAGGTTGACAGTGGTAGACTTGCCACATCCGCTGGCGCCAACTAGCGCCACGGTCTGCCCAGGCTGAACGGTCAGGTTGAAGTTTTTCATCACCTGCAATACAAGGTGACAAGTTACAGATGGATGGATGGGTGGGTGGATATGCCCCCTTAAGTTTGGATGGATAGATGGATGGATATGCAACCTGAAGTTTGGATGGATGGATGGATATGCCATCTAAAGTTTGGATGGATGGATATGCCACCTGATGTTTGGATGGATGGATGGATGGATGGATATGCCACCTGAAGTTTGGATGGATAGATGGATAAGCCACTTTAGGTGTGGATGGATAGATGGATGGATATGCCACCTGCCGTTTGGATGGATAGATGAATGGATATGCCACCTGAAGTTTGGATGGATGGATAAGCCACTTTACGTGTGGATGGATAGATGGATGGATATGCCACCTGAAGTTTGGATTGATGGATGGATAAGTATGCCACCTGAAGTTTGGATGGATGGATAAGCCACTTTAGGTGTGGATGGATAGATGGATGATACGCCACCTGAAGTTTGGATGGATAGATGGATGAGTATGCCACCTGAAGTTTGGATGGATGGATAAGCCACTTTAGGTGTGGATGGATAAATGGATGGATACGCCACCTGAAGTTTGGATGGATGGATGGATGAGTATGCCACCTGAAGTTTGGATGGATGGATAAGCCACTTTAGGTGTGGATGGATAAATGGATGGATAGGCGACCCGAAGTTTGGATGGATGGATGAATGGATAAGCCACTTTAGGTGTGGATGGATAAATGGATGGATATGCCACCTGCCGTTTGGATGGATAGATGAATGGATATGCCACCTGAAGTTTGGATGGATGGATAAGCCACTTGACATGTGGATGGATAGATGGATGGATATGACACCTAAGTTTAGATGGATGGATGGATAAGCCACTTTAGGTGTGGATGGATAGATGGATGATATGCCATCTGAAGTTTGGATGGATGGATATAAGCCACCTGAAGTTTGGATGGATGGATGGATGAGTATGGATGTTTAGATTAATGGATGGATGATATGCCATCTGAAGTTTTGATAGATGGATATGCCATCTGAAGTTTGGATGGATAGGTGGATATGCCACCTTAAGTTTTGATGGATGGATTACGAATATTTACTGCCAAATGAATGTGTGCCTACCTTTACATCTTTCCTGGTAGGGTAAGAAAACTCCACATTTCGGAACTCCATGAGTCCTTTGACAGTCTGGAGTCGTATCCCAGCATCTGAGGCGGCATCAATTGATGGTATCTATAACAGAAACATCAGGTACACAATTATACGTTACAGAGGTATGTCAGGGGCACAATTATACATACAGAGGTATGTCAGGGACACAAGTATACATTACAGAGGTATGTCAGGGGCACAAGTATACATTACAGAGGTATGTCAGGGGCACAATTATACATTACAGAGGTATGTCAGGGGCACAATTATACATACAGAGGAATGTCAGGGACACAAGTATACATTACAGAGGTATGTCAGGGGCACAAGTATACATTACAGAGATATGTCAGGGGCACAAGTATACGTTACAGAGGTATGTCAGGGGCACAATTATATGTAACAGAGGTATGTCAGGGGCACAAGTATATGTAACAGATATGTCAGGGGCACAATTATACATTACAGAGGTATGTTAGAGGCAGAATTATATGTAACAGAGGTAGGTCAGGGGCACAATTATATGTAACAGAGATATGTCAGGGGCACAAATATATGTAACAGAGGTATGTCAGGGGCAATGGAAGGAAAATGAGGGTGGATGGACAGATGGATGGAAGGGCAGTGAGGGTGGATGGACAGATGATAGAAGGGCAATGAGGGTGGATGGACAGATGGATGGAAGGGCAATGAGGGTGGATGGACAGATGGATGGAAGGGCAATGAGGGTGGATGGACAGATGATAGAAGGGCAATGAGGGTGGATGGACAGATGATAGAAGGGCAATGAGGGTGGATGGACAGATGATAGAAGGGCAATGAGGGTGGATGGACAGATGGATGGAAGGGCAATGAGGGTGGATGGACAGATGGATAGGGCAAAGGGGCAATGAGGGTGGGATGGACAGATGATAGAAAGGCAATGAGGGTGGATGGACAGATGGATGGAAGGTGGGGCAATGAGGGTGGATGGGATGGAAGGGCAATGAGGGTGGATGGAGGGTAGAAGGACAAGAGGGTGGACAGATGATGGAACAGATGAGGGTGGATGGACAGATGGATGGAAGGGCAATGAGGGTGGATGGACAGATGGATGGAAGGGCAATGAGGGTGGATGGACAGATGGATATAAGGGCAATGAGGGGTGGATGGACAGATGATGGAAGGGCAATGAGGGTGGATGGTGGATGGACAATGAGGGTGGATGGACAGATGGATGGAAGGGCAATGAGGGTGGATGGACAGATGATAGAAGAGCAATGAGGATGGATGGACAGATGGATGGAAGGGGCAATGAGGGATGGATGGACAGATGATGGAAGGGCAAAAGGGTGGATGGACAGATGGATGGAAGAAGGGATGGGAAGAAGGATGGATGGATGGATGGATGGAGAAGGGCAATGAGGGTGGATGGACAGATGGATGGAAGGGCAATGAGGATGGATGGACAGATGATGGAAGGGCAATGAGGGTGGATGGACAGATGGATGGAAGGGCAGTGAGGATGGATGGACAGATGGATGGAAGGGCAAGGAGGATGGATGGTCAGTCAGGATGGAAAGATGGGCCATGAGAATAGATGACAGATCATAGAAGGGCACTTAGGATGGATGGACAATGAAGAAGTCTCACCTCTAAGGATGGATGGATAGATATAGATTAAGGATGGGTGGACAGAAGGATACATGGACAATGAGGATGGATGGACAATGATGAAGGCCCGACAGTAAGGATGGATGGATGGATGATGGAGAGTAAGGATGGATGGACAGATGGACATACATTCTTGAGGATATCCACAACAGTGGAAGCTGCTCCCTTAGCAGTTGCTATGGCGCTGGCATGAGGAGTCGCATTGCCAATGGAAAAGGATCCAATCATGACACAGAAAAACACCTGCAAATACATGATACACAAGATTATATCCTGCAAACACATTATATCCTATGGGCTTATACATGAACACATATAGCATAAGCATGTGTCATTGAGTCACTGCCAGGTGATAGTCAACGATTCTCTTGGGCTTATACATGAACACATATAGCATAAGCATGTGTCATTAAGTCACTGCCAGGTGACAGTCCTCTCTTCTCTTGGGCTTATACATGAATTAACATAGCACATCATTAATCATTGCAATATTGTTTTTCCATGAAGAAACTGAGAGGTGGGAAGGTATCTGGTTTGGTTTGGTTTGGTTGTTGTTTAATGCTGCACTCAGCAATATTCCAGCTATATGGTTGCGGTGTGTAAATAATCAAGTCTGGACCAGACAATCCAGTGATCAACAGCACCAGCAGCATCGCAATTTGGATACGATGATATGATGACATGTGTCAACCAAGTCAGAGAGTCTGACCATCCGATCCCCATTAGTTGCCTCTTATGACAAGCATGTGTTACTGAAGATCAATTTAACCTGAATCTTTACAGGTGTGAAGGTACCTGGTAATACTGCTGAAGGCAAAATATTTGTTCTTTTGATGATTCAAATAATTATGAAAGGAAGAACAAAATAATTCAATTTATTCATTTTTCTCAGATTTATCCAGCACATCAAGGGAACCTAATTGTTTGTATTTCATTTGTTTATAAAATATTTTCATTATTCACTATATTGTCTCATCCAAAAATAACAAATGGTCAGTTTCTTATTATGGTACCAGCACTCACAGTGAAGACACTACCAGGAGACAATCCTTCCACCATGTTGGATTCTTGCCACTTTGCCACCTCAGTTGAGCCAAACCTGAAATAGAATCACTTTACACATGTATTTCAATAAGAAAAACAGTATTTTGTATCATAACCATCTGATGCTCGTTTTAGAAAGCAAATACAACAAATATTAGATTTGGGGGATCTATGTGGCCTTGGAATTCCTACATGGAGATAAGTACGGGGTCCTGGAGATCTTTGAATCAATACAGGTAGGCAACAGCATACCTTGTATACCCTGGAAAGGAGACAAGCACTAGCCTGCCACAAAGACCCAATTTGAGAGAAGAATTGTGTACTGGGAATACCTGCATTTAGATAAGTATGGAGTACAAGAAAAGGATATTGTAATGGTTACCTATTTGTCTGGGAATACCTACTGTCAAACAAGGATAAGTTGGACCGGCGCAGAGAACGCGTTTACAAGAAGTAGGCGGTGCACGGCAATGAGCAAACTCCTTTGGTTTGTGAAAGGTAGAGCAGGTGTAGGCTAGTGCATTGCATGACTATGAAAACTCGGTGTTTGCTGAGACTGCCCACACGCTTCACCCATCGCACTACACTTGATCACGGACAACCTGGGGCCCCTTTGCTAACAATGGCAAGCGCCAGTCGGCGGCACTCATACATGCTAATATGGGTCAGTTGTCAGTTCGGTGCTCAACTTATCCTTGTTTGCCAGTATATTTTGACAAGTATGGAGTACAAGAGAAGAATCTTGTAATGGTTACCTGTTTGTCAGGGAATATATGCATTTAGACAAGTATGGAGTACAAGAGAAGAATCTTGTAATGGTTACCTATTTGTCTGGGAATATCTGCATTTAGACATGTATGGAGTACAAGAGAAGAATCTTGTAATGGTTACCTATTTGTCTGGGAATATCTGCATTTAGACAAGTATGGAGTACAAGAGAAGAATCTTGTAATGGTTACCTATTTGTCTGGGAATATCTGCATTTAGACAAGTATGGAGTACAAGAGAAGAATCTTGTAATGGTTACCTATTTGTCTAGGAATATCTGCATTTAGACAAGTATGGAGTACAAGAGAAGAATCTTGTAATGGTTACCTATTTGTCTGGGAATATCTGCATTTAGACAAGTATGGAGTACAAGAGAAGAATCTTGTAATGTTACCTATTTGTCTAGGAATATCTGCATTTAGACAAGCATGGAGTACAAGAGAAGCATCTTGTAATGGTTACCTATTTGCTGGGAATATCTGCATTTAGACATGTATGGAGTACAATATAAGAATCTTGTAATGGTTATCTATTTGTCTAGGAATATCTGCAATTAGACATGTATGGAGTACAAGAGAAGAATCTTGTAATGGGGACCTAGTTTGCTGGGAACACCCCCAGTCTAACAAGTATGGGATACTTATGCCGTAGTCTGCTGGGAATACCCACAGTTAGACAAGTATGGAGAACAGGGAACCTTGTGTGCTGGCAATACTCAGATCAAAAGAAGAATCAAGTACCAGGGACCTGATTTGCTAGGAACACCAACAGTCAGACAAGTATAGGAGTGCTTGGAACCCTTTCTGCAATGTAATGGAAACAAAAAGGAAACACATTCTTACCAGAATGCCAGAGCGTAGGCTGAAAACATGACAAATAGCGTGATGCCCATACCAACACCAGTGATGGCTGCCTTCCGTATGCCGAGTTTCTTACTGTCCACAAGAGCACTGGAATATCTGTAATCAACCATCAATGACACAGTGATTTTATTTTTAAGAAATGACAGCAAAGATTGTATTTTATGTGCAAGCTGAGATCTTTTCATGTGATGTTGTCGTTTTATCGTTGTTTTGTTGAAAGTATTTTAACATTTCAATTCATTGCTGGTATGGCTCTCTTAATCTCAGAAGCAAACCTTATCTTAACAAAATCATTTTTATTGCAAGTAAAATCCCTGGGGTGTCTGTTTCGGATTTAACTTCTCTTTTTAATTCCCGTGTTCTAAACCTCTCAGAGAGAATTTTATCTGATTCCAGCCATGTTTTATTTTTTGAATATAATCTTTTACCTTTAGGCCGCCGATACCAAATGCCCCGTTTTAAAACAAAAAGAGTTCAAAATTCTTTTATTCCAGCAAGTATCCGCCTTCTAAATGACTGTTAACTTTGTCTGTCTATAGCGTTGTTTTGTGTTTTCTTAACCTTTATGTCATTTTTAATATTGAATTATGTGACCACTTTCAAATGTAAAAAGAATTCCCCTTGGGGTAATAAAGTATTGTCATTGTCATTGTCATTGTTTTTGCACACTAGAAAAGAGTTTGCACAAAATGAAGCTGCACCATCAGCCAATTTGAAAGGGTTTAGAAGAAATCATCACATAACACCATCCATTTCAAGTGTCATACCATTGCTTTTGGCTTGCTATACCTGCTTCAAGTTCATACCCATTTCTGATGTCCCCTGCTGTGATACTGCTGGAATATTGCTAAATGTGTGTAAAACCATATTCACTCACTCACTCAACCTCATACCAGATAAAAGTCCCTTGCCTCTTGGGTTGCTTTGCTTGTTTGTTGTTGCTATGCTTGTTTGTTGTATACAATTGCACCGAGCAATATTTCCGCTATATGACAGGTATCTATCTGTAAATACTGAATCCAGTGATTGACATCATGAGCATTGATCTATGCAGTTGGGATACAATGACGTGCATCAACCTAGTCAGTGTACCTGACCATCCGATGAGGCGCTTGATTAGTCGCCTCTTACTACAAGCGACCGTGAAGGTCCGGCTTAGAATTGATCTTCAGTAACCATGCTTGTCGTAAGAGGCAACTAACGGGATTGGGTGGATCTGGATTGCTGACTGGGTTGACACATGTCATCGGTTCCCAATTGCGTAGATCGATGTTCATGCTGTTGATCCCTGGATTGTCTGGTCCAAACTCGATTATTTACAGACCGTCGCCATATAGCTGGAATATTGCTGAGTGCGGTGTAAAAATAAACTCACTCACTCAATCTTACTACAAGGTAAAGATCAGTTCTGAACCAGATCTTCATATTTCATATTTCAATATGAGTGAGTGAGTCTAGTCTTATGCCGCTTTTACCAGTGGGACACCATAAATGAGCTTCACACATTGTTTACCCATGTGGGGAATCAAACCCGGGTCTTCGGCCTGACAAGCGAACACTTTAACCACTAGGCTACCCCACCGCCCCAATTTCAACATGACTTCAAATTCACTTAATGGTAAATACTACCTGCCTTTTTATTTCTTGTTTTTGCCCATTAAATGAGATGACGGTTCGGACACAGGACAGCACCTCCTCAGCCACACTCCCTGCCTCAGCATACTTCTCTTGTTCCCGTTTTGAAAATGATGCAATAGCCTGTAACAGAGCAGCCCAGCAGTCAGTTTCTGTTTAAAGTACATATTTATGACAATAAAACTTAAAATGATGAGCCAGGTACATCGATGCTTATGCTGTTGGTCACTGGATTGTCTGGTCCAGACTCGATTATTTACAGATTGCTGCCATACAGCTGGAATACTGCTGATTTAGGCATTAAACTGAACTCACTCTCTCCAAATGCATATCAAAACAGAGTTTTTTTATGTATTATAAACTGCTCCCTGTCTGTTAGGCACTGTAGCTCAACTGTCTAATTGAAAATTTCTGATTAATTATGTCAAGGTCATATAACTGTCTCAACAACAGGTTTCTTTTGAGTCACTTTTATATCTAATTCAATATGAAAGGCTAAAATATGCATTAAAAAATGGAAAGATTATGGGAAGAACTATTTAAGAAAAAACGACATTAGCACCAAGGCTATGTTGGTCACTGACTTATCTGTTGATTAAGTCCCTATTAATTTTACACTCATTCTGTTTACCTACTTTGGACAAGTTGAAACTTAACAGACAATGGCAAGATGGTGAACAGATGACAGAGAACAGGCTATGTTATGGTGAATAACTTCAAGGTAATTAAATCAAATCTCAGAAAACTGACTAGTCTTTAGTGTAAAACTATTGTCCAGAAAACAAATCACAGGGTGCCGCATAACTAACTGAAAATGCAAGCCCTGGAAAAATATACAAGTTTAGTTCAAATGTATTACAAACACTGTCTACTCCCCATTCGTCACCACTCGCCCCTTTCCGTAACCTCCCAGAAGACTCGTCCCCCATCATTCGTCACCACTCGCCCCTTTCCGTAACCTCCCAGAAGACTCGTCCCCCATCATTCGTCACCACCGCGCCTTTCCGTAACCTCCCAGAAGACTAAGGTCCCCATCATTCGTCACCACCCGCCCCCTTCCGTAACCTCCCAGAAGACTCGTCCCCATCATTCGTCACCACCACCTTTCCGTAACACCACAGCCCTTTCCGTTAACCTCCCAGAAGACTCGTACCCCACTCGATACTTGTTATGTGCGAAAACACAACAAACCAATCAGAACACGCGTAAATGAGCACGGTGCTTTGATAAAAATAATCCCGAGTACTTAAATCGTTTATGGCATTATGGCATTGTTTAAAAAATCATGAAAAATATATATCATCATATTGAAAGTACAAAGAACGTAGCTAAAAGGATTTTGCTGCCTATCATGAAGTTTTTAATAAGAATCATGCGATTGACGGTGAGAGATTCAAATACACGACGTGCGTTTGTTGACATAACTGCTCTCATGGGTCCAACTAAGTGTATTTCTGATGATCTTGCGGGCTTGTTATGGAGATTGTACATGCGCTTCGACCAATTTTAGGAAATGTAATTATAATCTCTACCAGTTTCAAAACAATAATATATTATTTGTATGTAACTAATCAACCTTAATCTTTAACATTGGGCTTATATTTCATAGCTCTGGGCATATTTTAGTCTGACTGTTTTTTGGTCATTCATATCTTTTTCAGCGAATTCATTTAAAATTCCACCAGGGGTGTGACAGCAAGGTTACACGAATGTTCAGTTTGAGAAATATTTTAAAGTCATTTTTGAGTATCTGCTTTGGGATTTAATGTAGCTGAATTTTTTAAATTTTGTTTGTATATTCAATAAAACAATTCCCATTTCTGATGATTAAACCCTTTTAAGAACCCTATTAATGAACATAATTGGAAATATAAGGTGAACAGCTGGTAATAATTACATTAGAATATGTCTTTAACAAATATGTTTTTCCTTATGTTTTAGTTGTATCAAAGAGGTTTAATTCTTTAAAATAAATAAGTAAAAATGTACATGTGCTTCGGTGATTTTTAGAAACATTGGAATCAAACAGGGATAGAGTTGTCGTTCTTGTTTATTAAAGTAGTTCTGATGTTCATGCGCCAATATGAAATCCTTCCAGAGGGGCACGAGTCGCTATTCGGCTTGTCCCGGAATAACACGAGTTGGTCACAAATGTCTACTTCCCTGTACAACAGACCCGTGAATGTCCAGGTTACAATGTTGATCTTCAGTAACCCATGCTTGTCGTAAGAGGCGACTAACGAGATCGGGTGGTCAGGCTCGCTGACTTGGTTGACACATGTCATCGGTTCCCAATTGCACAGATCGATGCTCATGCTGTTGATCACTGGACTGTCTGGTCCAGACTTGATTATTTACAGACCGCCGCCATATAGCTTGAATGTTGCTGAGTGCGACGTAAAACTAAACTCACTCACTTCCTGTAAAACATTGATAGAAACCTTACCTTGGACATGAATGCACCTGCTATAGCAAGCACCGGAGTTAGTGACATCATCACCAGCGTCAGCTTCCATCCCTTTATAAAGCCGATGATAAATCCTGAGATGAACGCTGAGAAAAACTGGACACACAAGCTGAACTTATCTCCAATACCTTCTCTTAACTTCTCCATATCACTGAAATAAAAATGACAGTGACAATTAGGGGATAACTGTACTGTGTTTGACGAATTGGGTACGTATACCGGTGGTAATATAGCCGCAAATTTAGTTATATCGGTGACACCCACTCTGGATCCTCCTCTGAGACACCCACTCTGAATCCCTTGGCTATCCTCCCAGCAAACACTGAATAATGGATCACTGTTCGCACAATGTCATTCTTAACATTGATCCAGTGCGGAAATATGATATTGGTGCAATTTACCTTTTACTCAATGTGTTCATATTGGTCAAACTGGTGAAAAGAAACTTCTTGGAGTGGCATGTTTAGAAGTTGTAGGGTCAGTTAAGGACATCCATAAAGTTTGTCCTTATCTGATGAAAAGAATTATGCAAAACCACCAATACTAAGTTTTACCAAATGCAACATGACAACATTCAACCAATACTGGCACAATATCAGTATGTTTGCTAGGAACTCTCTGGACCCTCTGGGCACCATTATGGACCCCTAGGCCTGGATCCTCTTCGGCCATCTAGGCATCTGTGTACACCCTCTGAAAATTTGGCAACCTCTTTGGATCTTTCCCGACCACCCTGATCCCACTCTGATCTACTTATCTGTATGCTTTGGATAGTGCAGGCTGTCAATATAGATCATAGACATCGATAATCTTTAACGATATACTGATTGATTATCAATAGTTTTCAGAGAAATAACTTCCAGCAAATATGCCAAAGGATGTCTGGTGAGTGGTAACATGTTTATGAATGGGTTATAAACAAAACAGCATCCCCAACATAATTTAGAAGCAGCCCTTGATTAAAAAGTTTTTGTATTGTGTGAGTAAATTAAACTTTATTCTGTCACAAAGGTTTATGTACGATATTATCAACGGCACTATTTTTATATCAATAATCTTGTTTGGTATCGAAGATGTTTCTGATTATCAATCTTCTTAGCCAGCCCTAGTTTGGGAGTCAGCAGCAACTTACTCTGCAAGTCGTGTGGTCAATTCACCACTCTGATGTTCATCAAACCAGCCAATCTCTTGTCTCAGAACAGCTTTAAAGAATGCCTTTCTCAGCTTGTACACCTGACGTTCACAGGACATCGTCCAGAAGGCCACCTGTCCATACAGTCGAAGACAATTTCATTTTCTCGCAAAATTCTCAATAATTACACTAAAATTGTTCGAATATATCACCAACTGTTAACAAAAATTAAATAATGAACATTCAATCATGTCTTTAATAAGACAATACTGGATTGTGATAATGTAATTCCTCAGCAGATTATGTGTATTTGATACACCCTGATATTTCAAATGAGATTAAGAAGTGGAAATTAATTTTAAATGACAAATATCATCACATGCATTAACATTAACCAAAGATGCCAATACTTATTTGATATGACCTTGATTGAGTAAATGGCTTGATTTACTGAATCAAAGATTTTTTTACAAGCATGTGACAAAATCCTGTTTTCTTCTGACAAATACTGTCTACATTTGACACTGCTAATTTTGAAACAAATATAACAAAAATAACATTAAGCTCATCTCCTACCTGCATATATGAGGCGGCCATGACTCCCAGCCCAATGTAGACATAGTACAGAGCGTACTGCGTCATCTGTGCCTCAAAGTCTATAGGGGTGGTGTAAAGTTGCCAGCTGTCCCATTCATATCGGGAAAGGAGCCATTACCTGGTAGAAATCAAAATATGTACACTTAAAACATAATCACTTTCAGAGCCTTATGCATATCTCTTGGTGCAGATCAGGGTGGTTGGGTAGCCTAGTGGTTAAAGCGTTAGCTCGCCACGCCGAAGGCCCGGGTTCGATTCCCCACATGGGTACAATGTGTGAAGCCCATTTCTGGTATCCCCCACCGTGATATTGCTGGAATATTGCTAAATCGGCATAAAACCCAACTCACTCACTAGCTAATTTGGTGAAGAGGATTTATCCACGAGACCATACAGAAGGTGAACAAGGCAAAGAACAGAGTTGGAGGACGGTACAGGTACACATGGAACTGTTGCAATATCATCTCAAATATTGTACCAATATAGATATGGTTCTGCAATAATGTTTCAACTCATAACCTATTTTTTTTATCTATTCTCCAGCACTAGTTTTGATTATCACAAACTATTACAATAGCGTTAAAATTGTAACTTAACAAAGATTCGCTGGCATTGAGTGAGTGTGCGAGTGAGTTAAATTTTTTAGTCACATTGGCAATATTTCAGCCATATCATGACAATTATGCTTGTCGTATGAGGCGACTAACGGGATCGGGTGGTCAGGCTCGCTGACTAAGTTGACACATGCCATTGGTTCCCAATTGCGCAGATCGATGCTCATGCTGTTGATCACTGGATTGTCTGGTCCAGACTCGATTATTTACAGACCGCCGCCATATAGCTGGAATATTGTTGAGTGCAGCATAAAACTAAACTCACTCAGCTCACTAAATTAAATCATATGTTAATAATAGTGTTGACATTGATATTCATATGTTTTCAGCACATGTATTGAGGAATAAAGAATACTAAAATGTAAAAGATTGGGAAAAATAAGGACAAATATTATGAAGTTTGGTTCCCCCTCTGGTAACTTCAGAGAGAAGAACTTAAAATGCCTTTGATGGCCTCCTTCACTACTGCGTGTTCCTGATGGCATGCACTTTACTCACCAGTCCCGATGAAGTCATTGGTCATCTCACCAAACACAATGGAGAGAAGAGGCCAGCCAGATCCATGCACCATTGCTGCCAGTGTACCAACAAACATGAAGAAATAGTCCAGGCATGTCGCAAACTGGAACTGCAACAGAAATACATGATTTCATGAAAACATGTGTTTGCCACTAAAGTACTGTCGGAACTGTTTTTAAGCTATTACTCTGTATCCCTAAAATTTACACAATTGCAAATAGCAGATGTCGAAATAACCCACATCGGCCTCAGTGGGATGCATAATAGGATATCCAGAAAAGCATGTTTACTCGTAAAATCGGGCAAAACTTAGAAAAAATATGAACAGGTGCTGAAAACAATAGATCAGACTATACATGGCAATTAGGTCACTCAGCCAGGTATGACGATGGACCATCGACTCACCTGGCATGAAATGCAAGTGCTGCCTACAGGCACGAGGGGTCATCTCAAAGATATTTGATGCCTTTTCTTGTGTGTTGAATATGTCGTATCTATTGATTAACATCTTACATGTATTTCTTTCTTAAAGTTTATGTTCAGATATGTAAAAGAGTATATAACCCGTAGAAAAGCATAATCAGTCATTGTAATAAATGTCTCAAAATATATTGACCGGACTGGATATTATTTGTAAATTGTTATGACATGCCGTTTACTTCCCCAGTTTAATTCCCCTGAAGGATCATCTTATCTTAGCTCATATCTCTATACTCCAGCCAGACCCCAAACCACCATCTCCGACACCCATCCTTGTTTTGCTTTTGAGACGACCCCTCCTACCTGTTTCTTTTTATAGTGATAGTGAGACTCTATGGTAGCTACATCCTTAATAGTTTCAGTATTAAAGTTATTATTTTTTTACGTTAGCTATCGTTTATAATGAAACTAAGTCTACTTTCAAAATGGGTATTAAAAAGTGTCCTTTGTAATACAATATCATCACCCTCTAATTTGCATAAAGCCATGGTCTATTCCAAATATGTCGATTTGGACTTAGACAAAATCTGCATTGCTCATTTCTGCACTAATCTCTCCTGAGTAAAGTCCAATTTTTACGTTTCCTATCTCCCTACCACTGAGACTATAGTTAGGCCGAACTTAGTTTAACAAATATTTCATACTTTCACTATATTATCTACATAAATTGTAGAAATATGAAATAATAGTTTTTTCTATTTCCGACAGTACTTTAACATGGCAATGTCCCCAACCGCTAAATGTCCAAATGTTCTACCCGGGTAACCCACCCCCATTACCCTAGCCTACACTGACAACCATTATGTAATTACATAAGTTTGAAAAGTGTCATGGTGACCTTGAAGATAAGATCAAGGTCACCCAAATCGACTGGTGTCTGCGTAAACCCCTAATGTAGGCTGTCACCAAATTTGAAGACATTGGGTACAACAGTTCATGAGATATTGCGTTAACAAAAGTTTGAAAAGTGGTCAAAGTGTCGTGGTGACCTTGAAAATATGATCAAGGTCACTGGTGGCTGTGTAAACCCCAAGTGTAGGCTGTTGCCAAATCTGAAGACATTGGGTACAACAGTTCATGAGATATCGAGTTAACAAGAATCGGGACGTACACACGGACAGACGGACGGATGCTGCCGAATACATAATCCCCCGTTCCGCGTTGCAGCAGGGGACAACAAATATGACCTAACTTTATTGGTTACAATTAATCTTATACATATTTTAGATTTTGTGAATTTGAGCCCTGTTCCACAAAGTGATTCTTAAAATATCCTCAATTTTCAAACATCCTGTAAATATCCTTGAGTGATTATTCAGTCAACCCATCCAAATCTTCCAACACCCCTGTGACTGCTGACAGAATAATGCCCCAAAAATTATGTTGAGAAGTTGTCCTTGAGATAAATGTTTAGTGTACCACTTTAAACACATCAACTTTTACATATTAATTAGCTTGTGTCACAAAATACAATGCCCCTGTCAACAAAATGTAATGTGTCATTATATATTTATTCTATTAGTTTAAGTATGTTTTTTTGGAAGGTACCAGTTTCAATTATCCGTTATTTGAGGCAGGCGTTAACATCATTTTTGTATTCTGAATTTTGTTTCAATCCTTTTATCTAGTATTTGACAAAGTTTTGACGCCACCACTTTATTGAAGAACACATGGGGCTGGCAAAGCTAGAGACTGAAACTGTGTTATTCTGAGATTCAAAACCCATGATCATAGGTTCCTGTACTCCAAAGGGGCATAACTCTACACTGTAAGTCATTGGGATACATATGTCGTAATTTGGAAAGAAGAAGAAGGAAAAAGAAGAATGTATGGGTGAAAAGGTTGTCAGGAACTGGTTGCTATGACTACTGATGAGTTTGACCATCTCTACTAAATGTATATATACTGACCATTTCTCCAAATGTCGCTGATTTTGTTTTTTTCTCTTCATCTCTGCAAAGAAAGGAATACAATGAATTGTAAGCATTAGTGTCATGAGCATGCCAACGAAGTCACCCAAATACCGGAATGGAATGAGTGAGTGAGTGAGTGACTTTAGTTTTACGCTGCACTCAGCAATATTCCAGCTATATGGCGGCAGTCTGTAAATAATCGAGTCTGGACCAGACAATCCAGTGATAAACAGCATGAGCATCGATCTGTGCAATTGAGAACCAATGATATGTGTCAACCAAGTCAGCGAGCCTGACCAACCGAACCCGTTAGTCGCCTCTTACAACAAGCATGTGTAACTGAAGATCAATATTCTAACAAAGACCTTCATGGGTATACAGGAATGGAACAACAAATGGTTCAGTTGGAGATGTGTAGGTAGAGAACAGACACAGGGGGATCTCCTCAGTTTTTATTGTTTTCAAAATACATTATTTTGTCATTGTTATGTGAGTGAGTGAGTGAGTTAGTGAGTAATATTTAACGTCACATCGGCAATGTCTCAGCCACATCATGCCGAAAACCATTTTTTTTATACAATAAAGATGAAAACATTCTGAAGAGTAAAACCTGTCGACGATGGACAGTAAAAATACTAGAGTATCACAGATATGAATGTAAAACTTGCATGTAAAACCAAAACAATTTAATTAAAGAAGGCAATACAATATAAAAACAGGATTTAGATAGCCAACAACTAAAGGTAGGTCACCATTGCATCGATATAAGATCTCAACAAGGATTGTCAACAAGGATTATCTTGACCATCTGGCAGACTGGACAATTGAGTGAGTGAGTTCAGTTTTATGCCGCACTCAGCAATATTCCAGCTATATGGTAGCAGTCTGTATAAAGAATCGAGTCTGTACCAGACAATCCAGCACAACAGCATGAGCACTGTTCTGTGCAATTGGGAACCGATGGCATGTGTCAACCAAGCCAGCGACGGGAATACTGGACAAAGATTTACAGTTGTGGACATCTACTTGTAGTGCTGCCATTATAGAGAAGCTGTACAGGAAGTGGCTGACTTGGGAGAGCGCAGTGAATGAGTGAGTGAGTTTATATTTGGTGTCACATCAGCAGTTTTTCAGTTGTATTGTGACGGGAATCATTTATAAATCAAACATCAATACATTTTGAAAACTAAAACCTGCCATCTATTGACAGTAAAACTACAAGTGTACCACAGATATTTAGTTAAAACTAGCTCAGTGTTATTGAAAAGTAGCAGATTATACAGAAGCTGGTATATGGTATGTGATGTTTATGTAAATTATGATAAACCTTAATCAGCGATTAATGGGACGGGAATTCCTGCGTCATATACGCATAAAAATTGACAATGGACGCAACGAAATTTAATTGCGCGTCCATGAGGACGCAGAAAAAGTCCAAATATTTTTGGTAAAATTTCAATCAAGTAAAATAAGTTATCACTGAGTTACTAGCTGGGTTATGGTATCATTTGCAATTTAATAACTGTAACAATGTGATGATCATGACACACAATACAATAAGAGTAACAGAATTAAAACATTATTACAACACAGTATTAATAATAATATTTAAGTGTCTGGGACCCCCATTTGTAGTCCAGGATCCCTGAAAATTAAGAGTATGAGTCCCACACCCTCAAATACAGGACTCAAGCAAAATCCTTGCCTTAATTCTAGAAGGAATCAAGTAGCAGTAAATGTTCCATTTTAATTTGAAGCTTAAAGACAGCACAGCATTAGCCTGTTTAAGAATATGCATTGTCTAAAGAAGAAATACGACATGAGCCCCTTACAGAAAGCAATCTTAGTGCTAAGACAGTCATAAGTGTATCTTAAAATATGGAAGTTACAAACACCTTAGTGGAAAGATAATGCAGTGAAACTGAGACCTCCCCCCATGCCTTATTCAAAATGGATATTACAGATATTGTCCAAATATGGTATGGTTTCACAACGCTTTTAACAATATTCCAGCAATATCACGGTGGGGGACACCAGAAATGGGCTTCAAACATTGTACCCATGTTGGGAATCGAACCCGGATCAAACCCCGCGAGATGAGTGGATGCTTTAACCGTAAGGTAATACCCCACTGCCCCTACTGTCCATAGTAATATATCAGAGTTATAGTGCTTTCTAGTGTATTATCCTCAGAGCCTGTCTCCAGCTCATAGTTCTGCCCTACATTGAAATACTATGTCTCACTTTCTCTGCTGACCTTTAATCTCATGACCCTGACATTCAAACAATGTGACCTAAATTCGAGATCACTAAACATATATATTACATGGTGGTGAAACTGTTATTTGTAATGAAAAATGCACTGTGTATTATGAGAACAAATCCTTACTGAATGGGCAGTGAATACAGGTTCATGTCACGAAATGTGTTTTCAAGACAGAAATAACTTGATTAATATTTCCAACCTTTAAAACAACTCTTGGAAAACTTTCACTTTCAGTCAAAGTCTGCATCTAAATTATTGAAATTCTGCAGAAATGCTGCAGTTCACAAGCTTCACAAATATGGATACACAGGAAAGAGCTGTAATATATTTTTAATAATGCAATCTCAAAATTCCTTTTTCAGTTTTGAACTAGTGTGGTAAGCTAAAAAAACCTGCCTTTTGGTCGTTGAATGTCAACTTCATGTTTGTGATTTAACTGGTTAGTCAGTTTGTGAAATGACAATCTGATGTGACCTATAATGGGATATCCTCAGACTATTGCTTAGCTGTGAGAAAAAAAAGTTCTCATTTGATAATGTTGATGATGAATTAAATAAACCAGCATGTACTATGTGAATGACACCACCACCACCACCCACACCCCCCTCCTCTAAAGTTTATTAACAAAGTAAGTGACCCCCTACCCACCCTTGCATGTCATGTACAAAATCAGTGATCACCCCCCTAGTACGTGAACCAAACTCATGACCCCCACCCCACCCCCAATGAACCAACCCCCACACACCCTGTGACAACATTATTCTATGGGGTGAGGTAGGTTGAGGTGGGGCTAGTGAGGGTGGTGGTGGGAGTCTACCCCCCAACTACAGGACCGCCTCTGGAGTGTAGTGGTTCGATCCCCGACCGCGTCATACCAAACAACGTTAAAATATGGTACTTGTTGGTCCCTGCCTGGCGCTCGGCATTAATGGGTACAATAAGGACTGGTCGGCTCGGAGTCAGTATAATGTGTCTGAGTGGGGTATTCATGTTTCACTGCGGCATGGTATCTCAGTGGGGTAGCACTATAAAACCAGCTTAAGGCTGGGCTAGTACAAGCAGCCTTACATACACATACACACGCATGCACGTCGTCATATGAGCGAAATATTCTCAAGCACGACGTTCAACCCAATTCCACCACCACCACCCAACTACAGACACTGACAAGCAGTAATCATGAGAATATAGCTGTTTCATTCCATGAATGCAGTCATGCTCTTCACTACAGCTACCTTGCACCATATATGGCAACAAGCAGGTATGCTGATAAGTCAAGATGATATCAGTCAATAGTGTACACAGAGCCATATATGGACTCTGACACTCAGCATGTAAAGCCACCATGTGATAATGTGATCATATATGGGACAGTTAGTATACACATATATAGTGCTGGGGAATGCATTGATTCAATGTGAGACTATATTTGGACAACGACACCTAAACTGTAGTGACATTTTTGTCTCACTGTTTTGCCTGGTAATTTACTCGTGAAAAACATATTCGAATAAGTCGAAGTTGGTTTCTTGTTTGCTTGTTGTTTACAGCTGCACGTAGCAATATTCCAGCTAAATGGTGACAGTATGTAAATAATCGAGTCTGGACCAGATAATCCAGTGATCGACAGCATGAGCATCATCTACGTAGTTGTGACACGACGTCTCAACCATGTCAGCCAGCTTGACCAACTGATCCCCTTAATCTCTTACGACAAATATGAGTTGCTGAAAACGAATTCTAACATGAATATTCACAAGTTATTATTTTGTCTCATACCCCCACAAACAAACCTAAAATGTCAAGGTCATTTGAGCAGAGAAACATAACTTCACAAAGTGCACTAGTCATGTGTCACAGACCCTGAACTGCATTATTTCCCTTCCACCAGCCCTTTCTGCAATACTAAACAGGTGGAAATAACCCATTGCCCGACGTCCGAGTCCAGTGTTTTTTTCTTTCGGTCAAGCAAATTTGTATATCGCTGTACCAGTGTCCAGTTGACTTTCCAATGTTAATAATGTTGTTTATTTACAAAAATCAACAAGAAAACGGACGGTATAGTGGAAAACTTATCAGGGCAAGTGATTTTACATGTGCCACTGTACCGGAGTACACTAGCAATTTTAAAGTTATTTCTACCCCTGACTAAAGCCCTAAATGAAACAAGTCTAGACTTCCTCAGGCTCTCCCATCTCACTGGGGATTAGGGGTTGGTATTGCAGAGAATTTTCATATTGCGATATATTGCGATGCGAAAGCATATATTGTGATATGTATTGCAATATATTGCAAGATTTGTTTTTAAACAAAAAAACTACTTATACTCGAGTTGAAACAAGGAAAAGAACAATTTAACATCAGCACAGTGGTTACTAGTTTGAACTAGTTTCTCCACTCTCAAAAAAGCCCTGAGATTTTAGACAGCAACTTGACCTGGTCAGGCAGAGATCACTGGACATTAATGAGTAACTATTTAAAACATTCAGATCCAAAACATTGCGAAACACTTGAACAAAAATTTAGAAGACAACTTCAAACCGAACTTATCTTGACTTCCGGTGTGAAAAACAGAAGTATCCGAACATTTCCGAGTGTTACGAAGTTTTCCGAATGTATGTCGAAATACCGGTTTTCGATCAGCGTATCGCAATACGTATCGATTCCATGTCTGAACCGGTTATATTGAGCAGCCATACTGGGGATCCTTTTCAATTTAAAAGGAATTATTTGTTTCTTATTATAATTATACAAGAGTCAGAGACTCAATATAA